TTGTGGTAAAACATGCATAACAAAATTCCCCATTTTAACTATTCTTAAGTGTATAATCTAGTGGATTAAAGACATTCACAATATTATGTAACTATCACCATATTTCCAAAACTCTTTCATCACTCACAGCAGGAACTCTGTACCCATGAAGCAATAGCTCCCCACTGCCCTCCACCCAACCCCTGGACCTCTACGCATTCTGTCACTGGGAATTTGCCTAATATATAATTTACCAGTTTTCTTATTGTCTGTTCACTAGAAGTTAAGCTACTCGAGGGCAAGAATTTTAGGCTCTTTATTTCAAAATTGACAGCAATCATGACAATATCTGGCTTATTAAATATTCAGAAAAGGAAGGGAAGAAAGGAATTTTACCAAAGTAGGGCTAAAAGGAAACCTTCTTGATCTCATAAAGGGAATATATTAAAAATCCTATAGCATCACACTCAACAGTGAAGTGTTCAAGATATTCCTTGAAAAAACAAAACAATGGGAATGATTTCACTTTTGTTTTACCTCAGAAACTTGGAAAGGAAAATAATATTTTGCTTAATGACTCAAACATATACAAAAGGAAGTGATATTGGTTTCCTGAGATGTATAGGAAGTGGACAGGATTGAACCAACACATCAGGTCTACCACAATAGCAGTGTTCTTTTTTTCAAACTGTGTGGTAGGAACATGTGTGGTCAATATTCCTTTGTATCTAGTCAGTATTAAAAGATGTTTAAAAAATTTTTACCCAGGGACACCTAGGTGGCTCAGCAGTTGAGTGTCTGCCTTTGGCTCAGGGAGTGATCCTGGGATCCTGGGATTGAGTCTCGCATCAGGCTCCCTGCTGGGGAGCCTGCTTTTCCCTCTGCCTGTGTCTCTGCCTGTGTCCCTCATGAATAAATAAATAAAATCTTAAAAAAAAAATTACCCATAATATTGAGTGAAAAAGCTAGTCAGACAAATACATTCAGTGTTTTATTAATGTAAAATTCAAAATCAGGCAAAATTAAATGATCATTTTTATGCCTAACTTCTATGTGGTAAAACTATAAAGCAAAAGGATGATTAACATAAAATTTAGGACTGCAGTTCTCTTTGGGGGAAGTGATAATAGGACTTACATTGGCTTATATAGGACCCCGAAAATATTGGCAGTGTTCTTTTCTTCAGCTGGATTTGGTATTAATTTTATTATTTATCTAAACCATGCATAACAATTATATAATCTCACTGATACATAGAATATGGTTTTGATGGGTAACTGAAATTCTGGTGTCATCCTAGACAAATTTCATCACTTGTCAACATTTTTCCCAGAACATTTCAGGATGGGTGGTGGAGTTTGTCCCTTGCTGATTTACCTGCCTTCATATTTTTAGGAGATGCCAGTTAACTATGAGCAATAGTTTTAACCGAAAGGGAGCCTTTCAGTTTAACACTCTACCAGAGATTGCATTGCTACAGTCCTTAAAGCATTGGAAAGTTTTTTTCTAGAGGATTTTTGTGTACAGAGAGTACCCATACACACTCCCTCTCCCCAGAGCACACAGTTTCCCTGATTATTAAGATCTTTCATTAGTGTGGTACATTTGTTACAACTGATGAACTGATACTGATACATACTATTAACCAAAATCTCTTGTTTACTTTGAGGTTTACTCTTTGTGTTGTATATTCTATGGTTTTTGACAAATGTATAATGACATACATCCTCCATGCTGTATTCCATAGAAGAGGTCCACTGTTCTATTCTTTTTTTACTTTCACTATAGTTTTGCCTTTTCCAGAATGTCATGGAGTTGGGATCATGCTTTGTGTAGCCTCTTCAGACTGGCTTCTTTCACTTAGCAACATGCATTGAAGGTTCGTGTTTTTTTATGGTCTGACAGCTCATTTCTTATTATTATCAAATAATGGAAAGGCTTCTGTGACTATCATCATCACAGCTACATGCCAAGCATTATTCTAAATGCTTTATGCATAGAAATTTAATCCTTACAACTTTATAAGGTAGGTACTACTACTATCGCCATTTTACACAAGGAACAGAACAGAGAGCTTAAATAACTTGCTCAATGTTATAAAGCTTAGAAGTAGTAGAACAAGATTTGAACTCAGGTAGTCTGGTTCTAGAGTCCATGCCCTTAACCACTATACTATACTGCTTCATATAAAAATGCCTAAAATAATTTCCAGTGCCTGATCTTGTTTTATCAATTCACAGTCCTATACTCCCCAGCTTTGCCTACTTGAAGAGTTGTCAAACTTTTGTTTAGTTATCTAAATAGCAGAAACTTTTTTACCTAGCACATTATTCCATACGAGCAATAATTACCAAATACTGCTGAATAGAGCTAGTTCTTTTTGAGTCCTTGCTCTATGCTAACCTCTGCAAAGTAGTTTTCATATACATTATTTTATTTCATCCTTAGGACATCCCTTGGAGGAGGTACAATTATTATCTCTAAGGAAACTAAGCTTTAAGGAAGTTAAATAACTAACTGAAGGTCATAGAGCTAAGAAGTGGTAGATGTGGGCCTCAAACCTCACTGTTACTCCAAAGTCAGTGCTCTAAAAACTGTTGTCTTAACTGCCTCTATTATCATCTTTTGGTTGACTGAGCTTTCCAAATCAATATGATATTTCTACAACAAGCTGAAACATTTGTGAAAGTATCTCAGAAGTGGGTCACCAAATTGTCTTTATAAAAGTGGGATGCTAAAAAAATAAACAAATAAAAGTGGGATGCTTGTAATGTTAGAACAAGCTTGATGCTCTCTTGAACAAGCTTTTGTATATCCAAGAATGATCTGTGGGTATATGTTATAGCAGCACTGCTGTAATACAATACTCTTGAAAAATCACTGAATTGTTTGGAGGAGTGGTTAAGTCACCCAACTGCACATTCTCACAGAAGGATACTCTGCAACAGTTTTAAAAATGAGATAGGCCTATGTGTCTGTATATGGAAGATCTTTAAGACAGAAGACAGGGCAGCCTGGGTGGCTCAGTGGTTTAGTGCCTGCCTTCAGCCCAGGGAGTGATCCTGGAGACCTGGGATGGAGCCCCACATCAGGCTCCCTGCATGAAGCCTGTTTCTCCTCTGCCTACGTCTCTCATTAATAAATAAAAATCTTAAAAAAAAAACCCACAAAAGATAGCTATCTGTAGAATAATATATAAAATTCCATTTATGTAAACAAGCTGAAACCAAGCTGGATGATCAACTATGTAAAGAATAGAAAACTGTCTGCTGGTAATACTCAAAATTCTTAGCAGTGGTTCTCTTTGGGGACGTAAGAGGAATGGAGAGTGAGGGAAGGGTACTTCTACTTTTTTTTTTTTTTAGAGATTTTATTTATTAATTCATGAGAGACACAGAGAGAGAGAGAGGCAGAGACACAGGCAGAGGGAAAAGCAGACTCCATGCAGGGAGCCTGACGTGGGACTTGATCCCGGGACTTCAGGATCACACCCTGGGCCAAAGGCAAGTGCTAAACCGCTGAGCCACCCAGGGATCCGGTACTTCTACTTTTTTTAAAAAAATTATTTATTTGTCAGAAAGAGAAAGAGAGAGAGAATGACTGTACAAGCAAGGGAGCAGCAGGCAGAGAGAGAGAAGCAGACTCCCCGCTGGGTAGGGAACCTGACACTTGCTTGACTCCATCCCAGGACCCTGAGATCATGACCTGGGCCAAAGGCAAAGAGGCTTAACTGGCTGAGCCACCCAGGTGCCCTTATACTCTTTAATCTGTGTCCTTGTATTTGAATTTATTCTATATATCAAGGAAGTATTCATGTAGTAGTTGTCTAAATTGAAAGGCTTTAAAGATCAAATACAAAATGATTTTACGTAGCCTGATTACAATAGTGTAAAAATGTACAAAGTCAGGGCAGCCCCGGTGGCGCAGCGGTTTAGTGCCACCTGCAGCTTAGGGTGTGATCCTGGAGACCCGGGATTGAGTCCCACGTCAGGCTCCTTGCATGGAGCCTGCTTCTCACTCTGCCTGTGTCTCTGCCTCTCTCTCTCTGTGTGTGTGTCTCTCATGAATAAATAAAAAAAAAAATCTTTTAAAAATATTTTTAAGGGTATCCCTGGGTGGTGCAGCGGTTTGGCGCCTGCCTTTGGCCCAGGGCGCGATCCTGGAGACCCGGGATCGAATCCCACGTCGGGCTCCCGGTGCATGGAGCCTGCTTCTCCCTCTGCCTGTGTCTCTGCCTCTTTCTCTCTCTCACTGTGTGCCTATCATAAATAAATAAAAATTAACAAAAATATATTTTTAAAAAAGTACAAAGTCAGAATTAAGTTTTGAGAAAAAAATACTTCGGAGTTTTAACTTCATGGTTTCCCCCCACCATTAGGTAATATGCTTTAATGTATAAACTGTTAAAAAATAAGTGAACAGAACCACACCAAAGAAAATTTGCATGTCTATTTTATTTCCATTAGAAAAATACTATCTATTAAAATTGTGATCCACTTTATTCTCCTTTATCTCTACCATTCAAATTTCAGGTACTTTAATTTTATTCAAGTAAAAGCAGAATTATATAGCTGATGTGAGGACTAATTATTTCACATCATTAAATTATTAGGATTTAACTGAATTATGTGTGCTCTTAATTATTTATTAGGAATGGTAATTCCTCTCTTGCATGATTTATTTCCCTCTACTTTCATTTATTTGCGTATGTAATGAGCATCTCTTTTCTGACGTCTAGTATCATGAGTATGTGTGTGTATGATTTATGGTGCCAGTAATTGGAGTTGTCATCTAATCTCCAATTCATGCTTAATTCCCCTTATTTTATGGCTATTTCCATAATGACCTCAAATATTTTAGCCAATCATACACTTTCCAACATCAACGGTAAAAATTAAGATGTAAACTTAAAAACATTGTTACGATTCCAGACTAAATAACACTGGGCCCACTTATAGCGATGCTGTGGTGAGAGGTCCTAGGACAGCCACTGCTTCAATCTCCACACGGCCTCCCTGAAAGGACCATAATCAAGCAACGGTTAGGTAATTTTTTATGGATTAAGAGAGCTCTATAATACTTACTAAAAATACACATAACTGATTGCAACACAGCATTGTTAACATTAAATTTTTCAAAGAAGGGAAGGATAGGGAAGCATTCACTGAGAACCCATGACAGGCCAGGCTCCCAAGCCAGACGTGTTCATGTGCATTAGCTCACAGGATTCTCCCAGCAGCTCCATTAGACAGTGTTCTCTCCTCGATCCCGAGAACCATTCATGGAAGCTTGGAGAGGTTATTTTAACCTGTCCCAGGACACGATGATAAATGGCAGAGGTTCAAGCTCATTTCTTGCAATTCCAAGTTCAGAGCTCCTTTACTGCACCCGATACCTTAGTTAAGTTTGAGGATACTGACCATTCCAAGTAACAACTGATTAAAACAATAAGCATACCACTGAGAGACGATAAATTTTCTTTAGAGGATGATTACAAGTGGAAGTCAGTAGGCTGCTTTTTTATAGGCAGGAATATTGGGCTGCTAGGAGCTTCTAATCAGATTCGAATACCACAATAACAATGGTGAGAAAATATGTGGCCATTGGTTTTGAGATTATTTTCCTAATGGAAGGGCTGGATATTTCATTACACACCTGATATTTTTTATTACAGAGCTCACTACCCTGGCTCAATGTATAGTCTCTAAGTATGTGAAAACAATCGAGCTATTTTACTTTTTCTTACAATTTAAGTCCCTCTGATTCTGTTGTGTTCATGTGTGGTCTTGATTTCTAATTTTAATTTTTTTAAAAGATTTTATTTATTTATTCATGATAGACACAGAGAGAGAGAGAAAGAGAGAGAGGCATAGACACAGGCAGAGGGAGAAGCAGGCAGAAGGAGAAGCAGGCAGAAGGAGAAGCAGGCAGAGGGAGAAGCAGGCAGAGGGAGAAGCAGGCTCCATGCAGGGAGCCCGATGTGGGACTCGATCCCAGGACTCCAGGATCATGCCCTGGGCCAAAGGCAGGCGCTAAACTGCTGAGCCACCCAGGGATCCCTTAATTTTCTTGATTTTTTTAAAGACAAATTTTTAAAATTTCTTAAGTTTCTTAGTCCTCTCACCTCCGCCACGCATATAATATTAGGTATTTCCTTTTAGTCTTTAAGATCCTGGAAAGAAGAGATGATTTCTTCTTCTTCCTTTAAAAAATTTCCTGCCAAAGTGCTTAACTTGTTATACTCAGAAAACAATGTAGAAATGTAAAATTGTGCATATTAATCATTTTAAATTATACTTACTTTGGGCAAAGCAGCAACCTGGTAAGCAGCTCTTGCAGGAAAACTACTCTTGAAATCTAAATTTAAAAGAATTTCATTTTAGTTTTCAGATACTGTATTGTGACTGCACAATCAAGACTCTGATAAGTGGGGGATCCCTGGGTGGCTCAGTGGTTTAGCACCTGCCTTTGGCCCAGAGTGTGATCTTGGAGTCCCAGGATCAAATCCCACATCAGGCTCCCTGCATGGAGCCTGCTTCTCTTTCTGCCTGTGTCTCTGCCTCTCTGTGTCTCTCATGAATGAATAAATAAAATCTTAAAAAAAAAAAAAGACTCTGATAAGTGCTTCATAGGTCTGTCTGTTCTTAGATATAAGCAACACTGAAAAAAAGAAGCTTACACTCATATTTATTTGAAAAATATTTTGCCATAGGATTCCTATGATATTAAACACTCCAACAGCCCTATAAAGCTTTATCCCTATTTTGCATGTGAGGAAACCGAGGCATAAAAAATGTTAATTAACCCAGCTAATGATCCTGAAAGCCTGAACGGAGATGGCAAAGCCATATCATAGCAGTAAAAAATATAATCTATGTGTTAAAAAAATTATTAGGAGGGCTTAGAAAACCTGGGAAGAGTAATAATATTAGGCTTTAATTTCATTCTAGAAATTCATTTAGAAAATGAATTCGTAGGGTTGTAGTATATTATTCTAGGGAGTGCCATAGAAATGTCTTGGATCTTTTTCAAGGGGACACATTGTATGTTCTCAATCAGACTACCCTTTTAGGACAGATTCTATGGTCATTTCTTTAGCATCTCCTATCACTCTTAATTCATAATGGACACTCAAGAGGTTAATAGATTAATTTCTTGTTAAAATTGAATACAGTAATAAAGCCAAATTACTTACACTGTTTGTAGACTTCATTGACAGTGTTGAAGTCATTTATGTCAGCCAGCAAAACAGTTGTTTTTACCACTAGAAGATATATACATTATTAGTTTTAGCTGTTTGGTCTCACCCAAAATATTACTTAGAAAAACATATGATATGGTTCTATGACTGTCTTGATTCAAATGGGACTGAAATTAAAACAACTTTTGAAAGCAATGTAGATATGGCGTGATATATTACTGGATGCTCTCTATTCTTCAAAAAGACCAAACAAATACCAAATGGAAATGTGAAGGAATATCAAGTTGCTCACCATTATTGAAGTCACAGCCCGCAGCTTTCAGAATTTCACCCATGTTTGTAAGAGCCTATGAAGCAAGGCAAGAAAGGCCTAAGGCACCAATGTTCTATTAAAGCTTTAATTCAATTCCATTCAACAATTTTTGCTAATACCCATTTGAATATCTTATGTTGCAGAAAAATTCTCCCCTTCTAGGAAATTTACTCTTTCTAGGCTACCTCTATGCAAGTGAATTGCTTCTTGGCTTTCATTTAATGGAAATGAATATTTCTGAAATATAGTGAGACCTTGTCTCCTTTTGTGAGTGAAAAGACTGGACTGAAGTCTCTTCATCAGTGCTAGAGTGTGTGAAGTTCTTAGCTGACATCCCCTCAGCTGAAACAGAAAAAGCTCCTGGAGTTCCTAACTATCACTTGGAGGATAAGTATGACCTAGTGAGCATTAAACCATGTTTTCTTTTAAAGCAATAATTGATTTTATAGTACTTTTATCTTTTTCTCAAAAAATAGTAAAGGAGGTATACGCTTGACACTCTGGCCTTTGGAAAAACAGAGGTTTTTCACTCATTCCTTAACGTACTATTTTGTCAATTCATTATTACTCTCTACTGGTCACATTATAATATTTGATATTTTTATTTTTAAGTAAAATAAAAATTGGGGATTTTTTCTGCATTAATTCAATTATATGGCCCTAGCATGATTTATTTCACTAGTTCCTTATGGATGGACCATTTAGGTTGTTTTCTGTCTTTGGATAATACAAATGTCTCAATGAATGCATAAAATTATAATTTAATTCTATTTATTAGATTAGAATTATACTCTCCATTCTTATTTTAAAAAAACATACTACACATAATCTTTGATAGTTCTTACTATCAAATATTGAATATTACTTTTGTGGTGTTTTTCTTTTTTTTTTCTTTTTTTTTAATTTTTATTTATTTATTTATGATAGTCACAGAGAGAGAGAGAGAGAGAGAGAGAGAGAGAGAGAGAGAGAGGCAGAGACCCAGGCAGAGGAAGAAGCAGGCTCCATGCACCGGGAGCCCGACGTGGGATTCGATCCCGGGTCTCCAGGATCGCGCCCTGAGCCAAAGGCAGGCGCCAAACCACTGCACCACCCAGGGATCCCTTGTGGTGTTTTTCTTAAGGGTCAGTGGCTCTGATAAGAAATTTTCCAATCCATGTAAAAGTTGCAAGATGCTATATGATTTCATTAATTTTATTGAGAGTTAAGTAGTTTTATTTTTTTGAAATCTCACTTCTTTATTTCCAGACTGCGTGTCAGTTTTATTTGCATTGAATACCACATAATAATCATGTCAATGTAAAATATTAAAGAGGGACTAGAGTGTTATTGTAAGGAAATATCTTCATCAACTAAATTACCTTTTTTTTTTCTTTTTTACTTTTTTAGTCAGGTTTATTGAGGAATAATTTAGAGAATTAAGGAGTTTTATTGAGGTGACAGATTATTATGTCAGTTTTAGGTATATAACATGGTTTGATAATACTTATATATTGTAAAATGATTACCACAGTTTAGTGAATATCTAATAATTCATGTTTGAAATCACCTTGGAAAGTAGACTTTTCTTTTCGTTGTTAAATGATTCCTCAAATTTCAAACTTTCTACTGACATAAAACTGTCTTAAATCAATCCGTAAGTAACTCTAGAAGCATTTATCTGATAATCTCTATGAAAAAACCAGCCAAGACAATTCGTAATATCTCTCAGTGTTAAAAAGCAAAGAAGGGAACTTCGAGTGTAGAAGGTGACTTACTTGTTTGGCTTCTTCTGCCACCCCTCCTGGCACAAGCTGTCCACTTGAAGGGTCCATGCCTAGCTGTCCCGAAATGTAAATGGTCCTGTCGACTAACACAGCCTGACTGAAATAAACAGAAATTCAGTGTACGTAATACAAAATTCAAGGCTAAAATATTTCTTTGCTAAGACACGAAAAGCACAAAATATAAAATAAAAGAACTTACTGGACTTCATTAAAATTAGAAAACTTGCTTTTTGAATGAGATCTTTAAGAAAATGAAAACATAGGTCACAGATTGGAAGAAAATATTTGCAAAACAAATATCTAACAAAGAACTTGTATCCAGAATACATAAAGAACTTTTATAGGGACACCTGGGTGGCTCAGCAGTTGAGCGTCTGCCTTTGGCTCAGGCCGTGATCCTGGGTCTGGGGATTGAGCTCCCTGCGAGGAGCCTACTTCTCCCTCTGCCTGTGTCTCTGCTTCTCTGTGTGTGTGTGTGTCTCTCATGAATAAATAAATAAATAAAATCCCCCCCAAAAAAGAGAACTCTTATAATTCAATAAGAGGAAGATAAACCAATAAAAAATGGGCAAGTGATTCTAACAGGTAATTTCATAAAAGACATATGAAGAGTTAAAGAGTACATGAAAGAAGCTCAACATTATTACTCATTAGAAAAATGTAAAGCAAACCATAATAGAATCCACTACACACAGTAAGATGCCACTGATAATAGTAATTATTAGTGAAGATGTGAAACAACCAGAATCCTATATACATTGTTGGTGGGAATGCAAAAACAGTACACACTTTGGAAAACAGTTTGGTAAATTTCTTAAAAACTTAAAACATATGTTTAACATACAACTCAGCAATTTCTTTCCTAGGCAACTACCTAAAAGAAATGAAAATATATGCCCAAAGACCTTACATGAATGTTCAGAGCAGCATTATTCCTGAGAGCCAAAAAGAAAAACAAACAATAAAAAACACCCACTGACAGATCCATCTAAAGACTACGTATCATCTGATTCCACTTATATGAAACTCTAAAAAAGACAGAATAGTAGCAGAAAGTAGATTATTGGTTTTCTGGGTCACTGAAGATTGACCATAAATGAGTATGAGGGGGAAGCCTGGGTGGCTCAGAGGTTTAGCGCTGCCTCCGGCCCAGGGCGTGATCCTGGAGACCTGGGATCAAGTCCCACATCGGGCTCCCTGCATGGAGCCTGCTTCTCCCTCTGCCTGTGTCTCTGCCTCTCCTTCTCTGTGCGTCTCTCAAGAATAAATAAAATCTTAAAAAAAAAATCAGTATGAGGGAATTTTTGGGGGGTGAGGGAAATGTGCTAAAACTTGACTGTGGTGGCAGGTACATGGCTCTAGACATTTACAAGAACTCAGGGAACTCTACACTTAAAAATGGGTGAATTTTAATGTAACTTATACCCCAACAGAGCTGTAAAACAACAAAATGTAATGCCAAGAGCCTCAAGAAAAGAAGTAATTATCTCAGACAAGATTCATCACTGCTTCTTGAAGTGTCAATTAAGGATCCACCGGGGAGGTTACACTTCATTTCTGCAAAGTGCTTGCTTTGGAAAAATGGCTTGTTTTGTAATGAAGATACTAAATTACACAATTAGTATAAAATCACAAGGAACAGAATAAGCCACATTGAGACCTGAAAAAGATCCAAACAAATTAAAAAAATTTTTTTTTAACTTTTTGGATAAAGAAAACCCCCATCTCTTTTTTTAATTGTGTCAAAATATATTCACCATTTTAAGCATTATTAAGTACACAATCTAGTGGCAGTGAGTGCCACCATTTTTAAAATGTTGATAAAGTATCAGTTTAAATTTAGAAGTAAAACTTGCTTTGTCATTTCCATGCTTATTTAGAAAACAGCATCTTCTCATTTCTGACTTTACATTTCTAATATCACATTCTCATTTCTAATCTTCTTCTAGTTCCCTATAGTGTTTTCCAATATACTTCAAGCTTTCCTATATTTTATTTCATGATGTGTCCCCTGATTTTCCTGACCATATCTCTTTTCTTTGTAATTTAAACTATGGCATTGATAATTAATTCATTATTTATTTATTTATTAAATTTTAGGTAAGCTCAGTGCCCAACGTGGGGCTTGAACTCACAATGCTGAGACCAAGAGACCAAGAGTTGTATGCTCTACCAACTGAGCCAGCCAGGTGCCCCTATAATTTTTTCTTGATAATTTTTTGAATAAGAGAATGTTCAAATGGTTAAAAAATCTAAAAACTATTTAAAAACTCTCAATGAAAAATCTCCTCCCTTCTCTCCTTATCTTCCTCTTGTGTAGTTTCCAGTCCCTACAAATAATCAATGCTCTTTTTTACATATTCTTCCATTTCTTTATGCATATATGAATAAAAATGAATATACATCTTCTCCCTGTTTATACAGCATGTAGTATATGAAACACTCTTCTACATTTTGCTTTTCTCACTTAACAGTATATCACTATCTTCCCATAACTGTATGCAGGATGCATCCTTATTCTTTTTAATAGCTGCAGAGTATTTCACTATATAAACATAGTAACTAAGCCTTTTTTTCATGTGAACCTCAGAGTTGCTTTCCCTATACCATGTACAGGATCCTGCCTCACATCACAGCTCAGTCTCTTCTTATCCTACCTCCAGGGTTATGCCAGACCGTAAACTCCCTGAAGACAGGAGCTGTGTCTTACTGTTTCTAGCTATGCAGTGCCCTAGGTGACTCCTCGCACATAGTGGGCACACAATAACTTCTGGTTGGTGTTTTCCTCTCTAACCACTTAAATGGCGTGGGCTGTCAGTAAAGAATCTTTTTAGCAGGACCTACCAGCTTATCGTGTGGGCTTTGAAGAGCAGAAGAAGGTAGATTGAAACTTGTAATAGGATTTAGAAAGTTTAGAAATTCTCAACTATCTGGCTTTCACCTTGGCCCAGAAACAAGTTAACTATTGAGTTTGTTAATGTGTAAGCTTTCCTTGGTTGAAAAATATCATCAGCTAACAAGGTTTCTATTAATTGTTCTGTGTAGAACTAGGCTACCCTAAGCCCTTTGGAAAGTAATTTTAACTCTTTCTGTATATGAAACATAGTTTAAACTCATATGCGTTATCATTGGCCAAGAAATTTTTGATAGTAAAAAGGAATTCATTTGTTCTCAGAAAATCAACAGATGTCTAAGACTATCTGACCTATGTGAGTTATCTCATACAGATTAGTAAAGAGACTGTTCACAAAAATAATTAGTTTACCCTTCCTGATCATAAGCATCCTACTTTCTCCATAGACAAGTCATTAGACTCCAGAAAATGTAAAAGTGGATTGTTCTATTTCCGGTCAAAGGGTAATAACACTTTCAAAAGCATCTTAGTAATAATTGTAATCTCATATTGTAATCTATGACACATGGACTATCACTTACAAATTTCATGACTATTTGGGTGTTGTGCTAGCAAAATGCACAGCAATGCAATGTGATGTTGAAATCTCTCAAGGTTCCGTCCCAGGGTATTCCTGAAATGTGCTGAGCTGATTAGCTAATTGGTGACAACACCCCATGTATCACAATGCCAGGGACTGAAAGTTCAACACATTTGATTTCTTCCTGGAAAAGACCCAGAATTTTCAAAAACCGTGCTCACTACAAACTCCTTGCACAAAAATTTGTTTCCAAATGGTTTTCAAAACATGTCCAATTAAACTTATCAGGATATAACTAATTAGTTGGGGTGTAGTTTTTCTTCAAGATAAAATATTGAAAATCAGCACCATTTTTAGTGGCCTTGTATGATCTCTGGATACAAAAAAGCAGAAAAGGACAATGTCCTGGAAAGTCTACACACAATGAAGCTGGTTGATGTTTTGTCTTTTATCATATTGGTATATTCATTTGATTCTCTTCCTTTTTTCTTGTAGCTTTACAAAGAGAGTTGACTCTGAGTCAAACAGGAATATTACTGTCATGCTTGTTTTCTTTATTTTTATTATTATTATTATATTTTGTTTTCTTGAATAAAGTGTACACTTGAGGAAGTATATTATCCAGGCTCTATAAACCACTTTGTGTTTGTTTCTGGTAAGTGTTGCTTTTGCTCTGAAGTAAAATCACAGAACGACTGAGGGAGAGGGATCAGGGCAGAGGAGGAAAAAGATCAAGGATTTTTACTTTTAATATAAGACCTCCTTAACTATTCTTAATGTCTTCTCCAAATAATCATCAGAATCCTCTTAAAAGAAATCTGGTCATGTCACTTCCTCTTCAAAAACTTTGAAGGCTCCTTGGTGCATACAAAATAAAGTTTATAGTCTTCAGTTTTGCATTGGGAATGATCACAATCCAGGCCTTGCTAAAAGCTAATTTCTAGCAAGACGCAAAACAAAAATTCAGATTCAAAGTCCAACTCTGAACCAGGGTTTCCCAAAGTGTAGGTCATATGCAAACTGAATCACAGTAAGGAAATGATTTCTTTCTCAATTCTCTTTCAGTTCTTTCATGGCAGGAGAGAGCAAACTAAATCAGAAGACTGAGCTCTGAAGCTCTGCCTAAGTTCAAATTCTATCACATCCCACCTTGTGGCTGACCTTGGGCAAATTATTTAACCATGTGTATATCAGTTTCTTCATCTGAAAAGTACGCACTGTCAGAATAGCTGTGCACATAAACTATCTAGAACAGTGCCTTGTGCTGAGTGAGCATCAATAAATGTCAGCAAATATGACATCAATATTCTGATTACATGAAGGAGAAAAAAATATCAACTTTAGAAAACAAAGAAACTTCTTACTGTTAACAAAGAGAGCAGACCTTCGGTTCTGAGCCAACTGTAACAACTTCCTAGTTATTTATTCATGACAGTCACAGAGAGAGAAAGGCAGAGACACAGGCTGAGGGAGAAGCAGGCTCCACGCAGGGAGCCCGACGTGGGACTCAATCCTGGGTCCCCAGGATCACGCCCTGGGCTGAAGGCAGGCACCAAACCACTGAGCCACTGGGGCTGCCCAATAACTAAAATCTTTAAAAAAAAAAAAAAAAAGAAAGAAAGAAAGAAAGAAAGAAAGAAAGAAAGAAAGAAAGAAAATGAAAATGAAAGTTTGATTAGGAAAGAAATTAACCTTTCATATTAGCAGCACTTTTGACAAATGGAAAGGCATGTACACAGGGTAGACAGTATACATTTATTTTTTTTTTAAATTTATTTATAATAGTCACACAGAGTGAGAGAGAGAGAGAGGCAGAGACACAGGCAGAGGGAGAAGCAGGCTCCATGCACTGGGAGCCCAACGTGGGATTCGATCCCGGGTCTCCAGGATTGCGCCCTGGGCCAAAGGCAGGCACCAAACCGCTGCGCCACCCAGGGATCCCGACAGTATACATTTATTTAGCTAGAGCATTTTGAGGCAATCTTAGCAAATGATTTTTGTTGTGATTTGTATTTGACTTTATTTGTGGGAAATGAGCATGGGCAAAGAATTCATAATCATCCCAAGGCATTTCTATACGAGTTGTAAAAATCAGTGTCTTGGGTAGATAAGTACATATTTGCTTAGCATTCCCATGAAAAGAATTCAGCTCTCTCCAGATGAACACCCACATCTGTTCATGGGATTTACTCCTTTGAATTAAGAGAGGGTTAGATCAAACATTATGCTAAGTGGAAGAAGTTAGTCACAAAGGACCATATTGTAAGGATTCCATTTACAGGAAAAGTCTAGGACAAGCAAATCCACAGAAAATAGATTAGTGGTTGCTAGGAGTTAGGGGAAAAGAATGAGGAGTGACAGCTAATGGATATGGGGTTTCTTTTGGAGGTGATTAAAATATTCTGAGATTATATAGTGGTGATTGATGAAAACACAGGGCTGAGGACAAGGTGCACACCTGGGGCAGCACATTGACAAGCCCTTGAAACAGGCAGAGGGACCTTCCTCTACGGACTCAACTGCCTTGATGTCAATACTTTGCTAAAGGCAAAAGGCGATCCTAGTCTGACCTTAGGAGCCTGCAAGTCTACTTTAACATATAAAAATTCCTTTAGGAATTACGTGTTGGCGATCACCCCCCAAGCACATGGCCCCCCGATACACATCCGAAGGGTCTCACGACTCGGGTTTTATTGGACGGTAATAAGTGACCTTTTCCCAACACCACAGCTAGCCCCCTCGGGGTCCTGGAGACCTCGCTCCCAAAATTCCGTAGAGATCCGCCATCGCCAGACGCCTCCCAGCTCCCAGGTATAGAGTGAGCCACCCTCACAGGCCCGGGGCAGCAGCTCCTCCCGCCCACAGGTCCCGTCCCCGGGCCTCAGTAAAACCACCGTTTTGAACGAAGGACGTCTCAAGAATTCATCCTTGGTCGTGGGCTCCGGACCTCACCCCACCAAACCTCACCTATATTCCAAAACTTAATCAGTGATGGCTGCACTATGTGAGTATAATATAAAATCACGGAATCGTACACTTCAAAGGGGTGAATTTTACTGGTATGTGAATTATAGCTTGCTAAAATGGTCACCAAAAAACCCCCAAACCTGACCGCTCTTGGCCGGCGAAGCGCGCTGGCCTCCGGGTCCGGGCAGAGTCCCCGAGGGCACAGGCTCCCGCAGCCACTGGGACTCCTGACGCCCCATGGGTCTCAAGGGTGCTCTGCCCCTTTCCCAGGTTCAGCGTCCTGGGCTCAGCGTGTTGAATAGGAGGCTGGACCCGATGAAGCCTGAGGCCTGCCCCAGCTCTGACCCCGACTGGCTTCAGCCCGGGACTCCCGACCCCACTCGTCCAGAGACCGTCCGCGCTGCCTTACGCCTAGTTACCTGTAAGGACCAATGGCCCCTGGAGCTTTCGCAGTGCTGATCACCTTTCTGATCAGAGACGCCATGGCTAACCCTTTTATCTTGCTTCCCCTCCAAGAGAACAATCCCGTCTACGGCCTCTGCCAGTGCGTCTCCAGACTAAGCAGCCCCCGGGCGGGTCCCGGCGGTAACTCCTCTCCCGAGGCGAGTTCGCTCGGCATTCTGGGAGTTGTAGTCTCCGCCAGGTTCCTGGCCACGTGGAGGCCGCGACTGCACTGGCGCATGCGCCCTACAGGAGGGTCGCCTCGCGCGTCTCCGCGGAGTCGGCTGTGGCGGAGCCTTGTCGTTCTGACCGGGGAGCCCTGGATTCCTCCCACAGAGTCTCCGGAGGTAGGTCGTGAGAGGCTGGTGTTCCCCAGGGTCCGCGGGAGTTTGGGGGGAGTGTGCGTGAGGCTCCCCGCTAAGCGCGCGCGCACCGGCCCGGCCCTCCTCCGGGTCGGCCCTGAGCTCAGACCCGGCTGACGTCTTCTCTCCTGGCGGCCTGCGCCTGGGCCTGGGCCGCGCTGGCCGGCCCCGCGTCCCGCCTTGTCCCGCCGGGCAGGTGCTGTCCTGGGAACGGGCTTCCCCCGGTCCTGCCAGCCACTCCGAAGGAAGAGTAGGGTCATTGAGGGGACCCCGCTGAGATCTGGGCGTGCTTCGCCCGCCGCCCCTCCCGGGTTGCGTTCTCGAGCGCTCCTAGCGCCTTACGGGGCCTCTACGCGTTCGTTCGCAGTAGATCTGAGCCGAGCCCTAGTGACTGGGATCTGATTTCAAAATAAGATAGGCTGGTCTCTTGGCAGATAGTCATGCCATGTCCGAAGGTGTGGTACCTGGCCAGGTATTTCTTATTCTGTTAATAAATGCGTTATAAACACGTATGCGTGCGAGTTTACATTCCACAAATATATATTGAACCCTTCTTGGTGCAAGGCACCCTGCTAGGTGCTAGAGGTACAACAGACAGACAGGTAAGATCCCTGTCCTGCCCTGCTTCTGAAACGTAATGTAAGAAAATCCTCTTGATTGCTCATACTATTAAGGTTTGGTTTTTCTACTTCCTGCCCAAGAGCCTTCAGAGCTTTTTTCATTGGTTCAGGGCTTCAAGCATGGAATAAAACGGAACTTCCAGTCTGTTTTCCCTGGCCTACTCAGTTTTATCCTCCCCTACTCTCTCATCCCACTCAAGTTGTCCAGAGTCCTCACTCCTGAATTCACACAGAAGATTCCTGAACTCCTTCCCTATTCAAATACCAACTAACTGAAATCCTATTTTCTCATTGACTTTACCTCTGGTTCCACATCCCTCCCCCCTTTTTTTTTCATGAGGCAGAGACATAGGCAGAGGGAGAAGCAGGCTCCCCACGGGGAGCCCAATGTGGACTTCATTAGGATTTACCTTATATTGTCTATTGCTGTTAGAACTGTTTGAGGACCACTGCTAGTTTGACCTGCTAATTTTTTTGTCTGATATCAAAACCTACTGCAATCCCCGAGTCCCAGCCTGTTCCTGGCCTATTTTAGTGCTGAATAGACCAGGGTTCCCAGGTCTACTCCCAAGAGAGAGCTGTCTTGCTGGATAAGTTTTAATTCAGATAATAGTAGGGGAACTAAATGGTTTTATAAAATCATTCTGAGTGATTCTTAATGCCGACTGATCTGAACCGTGTCATTCACCAGCTGACTGATTCTGCAGAACTTCATTTACTTCCTACATATTTTTTAATTTGAAAAATGGTGGGATGCCTGGGTGGCTCAGTGGTTGAGGGTCTGCCTTAGGCTCAGGGCGTGATCCTGGAGTCTGGGATCGAGTCCCACATCAGGCTTCCTGCATGGAGCCTGCTTCTCCCTCTGCCTATGTCTCTGCCTCTCTGTGTCTCTCATAAATAAATAAATCTTTTTTAAAATTTTGAAAAATGGTTTTGGGTGTACATGTGGTTGTCTTTCATTTAGGAGAAAGCCGAATGGAATGAGAAAGTAAAATGACATAATCTCTGTTATTTCAGTCTGGCCTCATCTAGCTGTCTCAGTTTTATCCTCTCACTTTTCTCACTCCGTGAATAATTACCGTAAATCAAGCCCACAGTTTTTGTAAAGCACCATGTCACTACGTTGTATACATTACTTTATTCTCAGAGCAACCTGTGATTTTTCCCTACAATTATATAACTAAAAAGTGTTAAGGAAGGTATTTGATCCAGATCTTTCTAACTCCAAAGGAAGGAGTCTTAAATTCTACATAACATTGGTTACTCTTAATTTTGAATGGAGGCTTCCATTGGGAAAGAGGTAAGTGAATGGGTAGTAGTTAATTCAGTGGCATTCAGTGGGGGTGGTATGAATCTTGATGTGACAGTCTGTAAGTTTGTGCAGGTGTTTTGGGTTGGCATAATGATTAGGGTAATGATGCTGGCATTTACCAGGCAGGGACCAGGGATGTTAGACATCCTGGAGTGTGCAAGAAAGTCCCACAGTAGCCCAATATCTGTTTTACATAAAAGCACAAAATATTGGTTACATGGTTTTAATATACACTGAGTTTTCCAGGAATGCAGTAAATCAAAACAAGATTATACTCCCCCCCCCCCCCTTTTTGCTACTTTACCAAGGGGTATTCGCTAGTTTGGAAAATTGTGTCACCAGTGGCATTGCTACTTTCTCTTTGAGGCACAGGTCAACACACCTGTATTACTTTGCCTTTGTACCTATTGCATTTGTGGTATGCTTTGAGAAGTGCTATGAGAACGGCTTGGCTCTGCTACTCTGAGCTTCCTTCTTTGCACAGGACTCTTCAGATTTCCCTAGTCAGTAAAAAAAAGAGTTAATGACTATTGCATGGAGGCTTCTAGGCCTCTTCCCCAGCTTTACAAATTGTGCCAATGCGTGTATTGGTGCCTGTGTTGTGGTGATTATACCCCTGAGCTCAGAATATCTCTTTATTACATATTGTCACTCAGTAGTGGTGAAATACTTAAATACAGAAAGTACATATTATTTTATTAAAATTAGTTCTTAGTCCTCCCTTTACATTATAGTTAGGGTGTGTGTGTATATATATATATATATATATATATATATATATATATGTAAAAGGCATATGTCCAGTAGGTTATGTTATTAATGAATTTCATTTCAAAAAAGAAAACAGGTGTTTCAAAACATTCCGGAAAAAAAAGAGGAGGGGAGCCTGGGTGGCTCAGTTGGTTGTGTCTGACTCTTGATTTCGGCTCAAGTTATGATCGTGGTAATGAGATTGAGTCCCAAGTCCGATTCCATAGTCTGGGGAGTAGGCTTAAGACTCTCTCTACCCCTCTCTCTGCCTGTTCCCTATTGCTCTTTTTCTCTCTCTTTTATAAAAAAATAAATCATTAAAAAAGAAAAGGGGAGATGTTGAGTTTGAAAGTTGAGAACTACTGAGTAAATCTGTCAAGTTCCCTCGGGGGTTTTGTCCTTTATCCTTATTCCTTATTTCAAATTGAAATTTTTTGCTGTTATAAATTAAAGGTACAGCGGGCCTCATTTTGGTGGCATCAGTAATTTATGTTCAGTTTTTGTAGAGAATAGTGTAGAGAATATATCAGAATAGTGTGTACTATATTTCATTGATTCACGTGGCTCTTGTTTCACCTAAGAATTTTTTTTCTATGGCAGAGAGATCTTATACCTCATTTTTCATTCTTTCAATAGACTATTCAGTGTCATCATTGGGATATGATTGAATTATCTGGCAGTGTAATCTAGAATATACTAATGGTCTCTTCCATCAATAGAATTGTTTTTTTTCCTATTGAATTGGGTTTTTGGTGCTAATACCATTCATGGCTCCCCTAGAAATACCCCTGGTGATAAGTCTCTGTAGGTCAGTATTGTGATAACATTTTGATATCATCAATCCACCTATAATAAATGAAGATTGGTTATATTAAAGAATCAAATTTTGAGTTACGGGAATATTTATTTACTAAGTGTATTTTTATTTTGCATGGAAGTTCTCTTTGCTTGTACTAAATTTATTCTTCCTTTTCAGAAATGTCTAATGCAAAAGAAAGAAAACATGCTAAGAAAATGAGAAACCAGCCCACTAATGTTACTTTATCTTCTGGCTTTGTGGCCGATAGGGGCATAGAGTACCATAATGGAGGTGGGAGACCTTTCCAAGCTCAAAAACAAGGTAAGATACACACGGTATTCTTTCTATTCTATTTGGAGCAAAATGCTTTAGTCAGCTCTTTTTTTTTTTTTTTTAAGATTGTTTATTTATTTATTTGAAAGAGAGAGAAAAAGCACGAAAGGGGGGAGGGGCAGAGGGAGAGGGAGAGGCAGAAGCAGGCTCCCCACTGAGCAGGGAGCCCTATATGGGGCTCAGTCCCAGGACCCTAGGATCATGACCTGACCTGAAGGTAGATGCTTAACTGACTAAGCCACCCAGACTCCCCATTGTTAGTTATTATTTAAATAGTAAATGATCTGCATTAAAAACAGATGCAGTTGACCTTCATTATTCACAAATTTTGTATTTGCAAATTCACCTAATTGCTAAATTTATTTGTTACCCCCAAATTAATACTCATGGTACTTTGGTGGTCATTCATGGGCTTGCAAAGAGAGGGAAAAAATTGGAGTCACTGCACATGGACATTCTTAACTGAGGTTCCCAGCTGCCTTCTTGCTTCAGCTTGCTGCTACTTTTTTTTTTTTTTTTTAAGATTTTATTTATTTATTCATGAGAGACACAGAGAGGGAGAAGCAGGCTCCACACGTGGGACTCAATCCCAGGTCTCCAGGATCATACCCTGGACTGAAGGCAGCGCTAAAGCACTGAGCAACCCGGCTGCCCTTGCTTCAGCTTTCTTACAGAGTGACCAGAGGGTGGAGACTCTAGTGGGGCACGTGCAGCAGAGCCCAGGAAGCTCCCTCTCCAGCTGGGGATTGAGTTCCAGTTGTGGGCAGCCGCAGGCAGATCACTTAACACTTCTGAATCCATTTTTTTCCTTTGTAAAAAAAAGGAAACAATGTACCAAGATGAGTTGTTTTTATGATTTGAGATTGCAGTCAGTGTGATAGGGGTGTGTGTGTGTGTGTGTGTGTGTGTGTGTGTGTGTATTTTCTCTAGGAACAGTGGTTCAGTATTTGCTAACTCAGGGTTTTTTGTGACTTTACAGAGCATAACTACTGGGAATAAGAATTGGCTGTACGTAGAGCAGATATATTATATTTCTATCATAACATAGTTATTAAATTACATTCTTTATTTCCTAAAAGAAATACAGTGTGTTTATTGTATCTGCCTTTTTTAAAAAAAAAAAAAAAAGATTTTTTTTTTTTATCTATTCATGAGAGACACAGAGAGAGAGGCAGGGACATAGGCATAGGGAGAAGCAGGCTCCTTGCTGGGAGGAGTTCCCAGGACTCCGGGATCACGACCTGAGCCAAAGGCAGATGCTCAACCACTGTGCCACCCAGGTGTCCCGGGAGTTTAGATTTAAAATCTAGGGGATCCCTGGGTGGCTCAGCGGTTTTGCGCCTGCCTTTGGCCCAGGGCGCGATCCTGGAGTCCCAGGATCAGGTCCCGCGTCGGGCTCCCGGGATGGAGCCTGCTTTTCTCTCTGCCTCTCTCTCTCTATGTCTATCATAAATAAAAATAAATCTTTAAAAAAAAAAAGATTTAAAATCTATTTTGTACTATTTGGACAAAAGAGCCCTTATATCAGTTATGTTCAGGGTTAGTTTGTCATGCTGACAAGATTAGCCAGTGTGCTGCCTGCTAACTGTGTCACGTGGGGCACAGTAATTCACCTTCCTACCCGAAATGATTCCCTCCTATTTAAAGGGAAGGTAGTAATAGCCACCTTACGGGTGATTGTAGAATTAAAAACATGTTAGTGTTGCCCCTCAGCAAACGGTGTTTTCCACTATAATCCATATCTCTGTTAGGCCTGACATAATTCTTTTCGTTTTCTTTTTGAAAATAAACTAGACCCTTTTCCTGGAACTTCACGACAGCGGCAAACCAAAATGACCTACCATTCCCCAGTTGATCCTGATGTGAATGAACAGACTTCCTCCAAAATAATGTTTAAAAAAAAGGGAGGATGGAAAGCAGGTCCCGAGGGCACGTCTCAGGAGATTCCCAAGTATATCACTGGTAGGTGTTTGGGAAGAAGTGAAGCTTGATCATATGATGAGGTGTCTGTTTAATGCAGCCAGATTTCCAGCACTCTCTGTCTTGATCATGCCTTCCTGTCTCTCTCCTCTCTTTCCGTGTTGAGCTCTTCTCCCCTCCAGCCTGGACTTCGACTTCCTGGGGCCTGACTTCCTGGGGCTTTTCCCTCTTGAGTTTCTCTTTTTTTTTTTTCCTCTTCTTCATCTTCTTGTAAGTTCTTCTCTGTGAACTGTTCCTTTTTGTCCTAAAATCTTCTTAGCCCTTCCCCCACCCCCTTTTTGAAATATGAAATGCTACCTACACTCCTTTGTACACATTCTCCAAAGGTGAAACCAAATTTAACACACTCTGAGGGTAACTAAGATCTTTAAATACCTGTCTCCAGGCCCCTTCAGATCTTGTCTCCTGTCACCCCTGCTATCCCCATTACCTTCTATTCTTTAGGTGTGACTTCTAGTTTCTGTGTCTGTTTATACTTTCAAAAAATTTTCATCTTTCAATAAGGAAAACAAGTAATAGTTATGGCTACATATTTGGGAAAAGCAGAAAATAGTAAAAAAAAGCTTGAAGTCACAACCATTGTTAAAATCTCACCTTTGTTTTCTTCTTCTTTTTTTTTTTTTTTTTTAATTTTTATTTATTTATGATAGTCACAGAGAGAGAGAGGCAGAGACACAGGCAGAGGGAGAAGCAGGCTCCATGCACCGGGAGCCCGATGTGGGATTCGATCCCGGGTCTCCAGGATCGTGCCCTGGGCCAAAGGCAGGCGCCAAACCGCTGTGCCACCCAGGGATCCCTCACCTTTGTTTTCTTGTGTAATTGTTGCACTTACAAGTGGCTGTGATTATATTGCATGTAGACCTCTTTTTTTCTGATTAGAAAAGTAATACTGAATCTTTATAGAAAAGGGAAGTAGAAACAGAATAATTTCATAATCTTATAATACAGCAATAACTACCCCTTGGTATTAATCTCATTTGTGGTTTGGGTGGTGAGTGGGTTGTAAGATTATGTACTTCAAATCTGTCTTCCTTCTAAGGTCTGCCAGAAGTATGGATTCAAGACTTGTCTTTAATGATGGTGCTGTTTTTGTTGACAGCTTCTACTTTTGCTCAGGCCCGAGCTGCTGAAATCAGTGCTATGTTGAAAGCAGTGACCCAGAAGTCTTCTAATTCGCTGGTTTTCCAGACACTGCCCCGGCACATGAGACGGAGAGCCATGAGCCACAATGTCAAGCGCCTTCCCAGGCGGTTGCAGGAGATTGCCCAGAAAGAGGTATGAGCGTAAATATTTAAGTTAGTTTCTAAAAGAAATTAAGAAGTGTTAACCTGATAGAATTAAAATGTAAACCAAAAGCATTGTGATCATTTTGCATATTTTTTGGTTTACTTATGATTCCTCCCACCTCCCCTCTTGCTATGTAATTAGCAGACAGTTGGATATTACATATAGTCATACAGTGTTTGGAAGCCCCCCCCCCTTTTTTTCCTACTTTCTTCTTTTTTTTTTTTTTTTTTTTTAATTAGTTTCAGGTTAGAAGCTCTTTCTTTTAATGGCATTAAATAGTTGAATTCCCCTGCCAGATTTAAAATAAAATCCTGACCTTACTACATGAGTGATTTTAGCTCTGTATTTTGGGGCTGTGGCCAGCTTGAAGTTGGAAGGTTAAGAAAAAAAAAAAAATCAGTGTGCCTTTTGACTTTTTCAATGTTGAAAACTTGAAACTTGGATTTAATTTTTGTTCAAGTCTAATTGTTTTTGGCTTCACCAAAACTCTTGGCTTAGGCATTCTCAGATTGTGTAAGCTACCCATGTCTCTTGCTAGTTGATTCAAAAGTTATTCATGGAGTGCTTTCTGTGTACTATGCTGGTAGTGGGGTTAAGAATTCATCAACACAAAGTCTTTATCTTTAGGAGCCCACAGACTAAAGAAGAGTTTTGGGGTTTTTCTTCCCCCCTCCCTGCACAAAAGTTTCACTCAGCTATGGAGGAGATTAAGAGTGAAAACTGAACAGGAATTTTGTGCTTTCTAGATTTAATGTTAGGTTTGTTTCCCAGTGATCAGGCTTGGCATTTGCCTGTCAGGACCTAACTGACGTGAAATGTATAGGTTTTCCTCGTTTTGTATTTTTCATCCTATTTTGGGTTTAGCTCTAGTCTCAGAGGTTAAAAAAACCAATAAAACCAATAACAGAAAAGCTAGCCTCTGACTTATTCTCCTGCTCTCTTATATGGATAGCCACAGTAAGCTTATGTTACTGTGTGGAGCCTTTTGTAAATATTCTCATCCTCATAGTCCACGAAGCTTGTCCAGTTAGTAAGTGATAGAACTGTGCTTTCTCTCTAAGTCTGGCCATCTCTGAAATCTTCACTCTGTTGTCTCTTCTCCTGGTCTTTCATTGGAGAGATAACCAAGTTAAAAAATGAAGCGTATCTATGGAGCCCACTTAATCTAAAGTTAGTTGTTTGAGTTACTCACATGTAACTTTGTTTTGAGATAGTTGCAAACTAGGATCTGTCTCTTTCCTTGAAACCACAGGCGGAGAAAGCAGTACATCAGAAAAAAGAACATTCAAAGAATAAATGCCATAAAGCTCGAAGGTGTCACAAAAATCGGGTGCTAGAATTTAACCGTAGACAAAAGAAGAACATATGGCTAGAAACTCACATCTGGCATGCCAAACGGTTTCACATGGTCAAGAAGTGGGGCTACTGTCTTGGGGAGAGGCCCACGGTGAAGAGCCACAGAGCCTGCTACCGAGCCATGACAAACCGTTGCCTCCTTCAGGTATTGCTTTTCCAATTGGTTTTCTCTTTCTTTTTGTTTAGCCAAAATGGAAGTGATGTCTGGGCTTGGCTCCAAGGGGTAAGAAAATGGGGCAGTCGGGGAGGCAGAGAAAGTCAGGTAAGAGGGAAGAATTAAAATAAATTCGCTGTGGTAAAGATGAAGAGAGTAAGATAGAGGATAACATGAAGGTGAGATTAGTTTGGGAGAAACAAGTAGGAACCAGGCCCTGCATGGTCTTGGTGGTCATGTTTGAGATTTCTTCAGCATTGATTCATTTAGAAATCGTTCATCAACAACAGATATTTGTGTGCCTTATAGCTGTGTTCAAAATGTTGTTCTAAGTGTTTACAATTCAGTGGGATGCTAGGAAGTTTGCATTAAATTCTTTGAAAGGACAGTTTGTTTTAGAGCCTGGTAATAGTGTTTATCTTGTCCCTCTCCCCTTTCCCGATTGCTAAATCAATTGCATTCTCTCTTTCAGTACATATTTAGAAATTTGATCTTTGTAGAGGGTCTTTCAATGTCAGGATGGCCTTGGCCAAATTTTTTTGTTTTTGTCTTTTAACTTTTTTATCTGGGTATAGTTGACACGATATTTATTAGTCACAGGGGTACAACATAGTGATTCAACTTCTCTATATGTTATGCTGTGCTCACCACAGTCTAGCTCCCATCTGTCCCTGTACAACACTATTACAATATCATTGACTATATTCCCTATGCTGTACCTTTTATCCTCATGACGTGTTCATTGCATAACTGGAAGCCTTGGCCAAGTTTTGAAAGCCACTGGTATTAGTATTCTTTGATACCTCTTGAGAGCAATATAGCAGAATAATCAATGTAATAACCTTTAAAAAATTGTGGTAAAATATACATAACATCAAATTTTACCACTTTAATTATTTTCTATTTTAAGATTTTTATTTTTAAGTAATCTCTACACCCAACGTGAAGCTTGAGTATACAACTCTGAGATTAAGAGTTACATGCTTAACCAACTGAGCCAGCCAGGTACCCCCCTTAATTATTTTTAAGTATACAGTTCTGTGACATTAACTCTAGTCACATTGTTGTATAACTATTTTCACCATCCATCTCCAGTTCTTTTTCATTTTCCCATTAAACCATAACTCCCCATTGCCCACTGTCCTGATCCCAGCAACTACCATTCTACTTTTTATCTTTAAGAATTTACCATTCTAGATGCCTCATAAACGTAGAATCACTCAATATTTGTCCTTTTGGGCTGGTTATTTCACTTACATAATGTCTTCACAGTTCAGCCATGTTGTATCCTGTGTTAAAATCCCCCTCATTTTTGAGGCTGAATAGTACTCCATTGTATGTGATACCCCATCTTGCTTATCTGTTTATCCAACAACGAACATTTGGGTTGCTTCCACCTTCTGGCTGGTGTGAATAATGTTCCTGCATGAGTATGCAAATATCTCTTCAAGTCTCTTTTCAGTTCTTTGGGATATACTTAGAAGTGAAATTGCTATTTCACATGGTAATGCTATGTTTAATTGTTTGAGGAACTGACATACTGTTTACATAGAGACTGTACTCTTTTTCATTCCAACCTGCAGTGTGCAGTGGTTAAGTTTCTCCGTGGCATCACCAAACACTTGTCATTTTCAGTTTGTTTGATTATAGCCTTCCTAATGGGTGGGAAGTAAATACCAGAACTATTTGAGAGCTTTTGAAGACTCAGCAGTAGAAATAATTGAATATAGTAAAATCTCTTATTTACATTGTAGAAACTGGGATTCAGAGAGATAAAGTGACTTGTCCAGGGTTGTGCAGTCTGGGGTGGCTAGGTAGCCTTTGGGGCAGCTAATTCCTCAGGCCTGTGCTTTTTCCACTATCCACCGCTGTCTCTCAAATTTTAAGACAGACATGTAAGTTACATCTTACTTTGGGCAAGATTTTTGCTGACGTTATCAGATATTTTTATTACACTTGATCAGCCCTAAGTAATAAAAATAATAACTAATAGACAAACATTTTTGAGTACTTAATTGTATGTCAGGGCCCACTTAAATGGTTTCCATATGTTTATTCATTTAGTCCTTAAAACAAGACTGTGAGGTAAGTAGTTAACATTTTGTCCTCTTTACAGATGAAGAAACCAAGGATCAGATAAATTAGGTAATTTACCCACCGCTGTACAACCAGTAAGTGGTGAAGTTGATTGAGATTTGAGCCCAGGTCTGACATCAGGATGTCTGGGCTATTAATCATTATTCAGGGCTGTCACCAGTTGTACAAATTTGGGGGAGGTTCATCTGACCACTGGCAGCTGAGGGTGGATTGCTGTTGCTGGGAAGATTTCTGTGTATGAGTGGTAGCACTGATTAACTTGAGTTTGTCGGAATCTTAACTATGATTTGCCTTTTAGTTCCAGTTGCTGAGTGTCCTGAAATTGCTTAAAAGTGCTATGGCAGAGGGGCTGGTTTGGGGGTCAGTGAGCTCGACTCAAATGCTGGCTTCTCCACTTGCTGGTTATATGGCTTTGTTTAGTAGTAGTCCCTGCCTCAGTGTCCTCATCTGTCTAATAAGGCAACAGAGAGTACCTGGCTCGTGGGGTATTGGGCAGAGTAGGGGACAGCCCAGCCCCTGGCGCTCAGCTTCCCTTCTGTGACTGTTACTTTAACATATTGATTTTACTAGCTTGGTTGATCTCTCCTTGTCTTATTTACAGTGGTAAGGTCTTATTCTCATTACTTTCATTTTTCCTTGTGCATTGTTTAGTCAGAGTTGAATATCCTAATTAAGACCAAGGATTGGAGGAATATGGACTAAATGAATTGCAACAATATATTTCTACCAGTGTTAAGTAATCTTGGAGTCCTGAATTAGCTAACCAAAGTGAACAACCTTAGCATAGCTGTACAGAATTTATTGCTGTCTTGCTATTCTATTCTGATTTCTTACCTTAGATTTGGAGGAGGAATAATCCTTTACTTAGAGGCAGCAGTCTTTATACTGTATTTAGAACTTGTCTATAAAATTTTCTTTCTCAAAAAAAAAATTTTTTTTCTTTCTCTCTCTTTTTTTTTAAGTTTTATTTGTCGTCCCTCCACCCTGCTTGGGGCTCAAACTCACCACCTGAGATCAAGAATTGCATGCTCCTCCAGCATGCTCTGACTGAGCCAGCCAGGTGCACCAACAGATTTTCTTTCTGAAAAGAACCCAGTAACTTAGCGTTTTAAAGGGAAATTCTTTTTGATTTTGCTTTAGATTGGTTTAAGAATATTTGCTAATTTCCTAGATTTTGACTTATAAACAGCTTTAACAACTTGGTGTGTCTTTGACCTTAAACGTTTTTCTGATGTGGCTTTTGGCTTCTCACAGCTTTCCCCTGTGTCACTTTCTGTTTTTGTTTGTTTGTTTGTTTGTTTGTTTTAATTTTTATTTATTTATGTTAGTCACACAGAGAGAGAGAGAGAGAGAGAGAGAGAGAGAGGCAGAGACATAGGCAGAGGGAGAAGCAGGCTCCATGCACCGGGAGCCCGACGTGGGATTCGATCCCGGGTCTCCAGGATCGTGCCCTGGGCCAAAGGCAGGCGCCAAACCGCTGCGCCACCCAGGGATCCCCCTCACTTTCTGTTTTTAATTATGTCTCTCTCTTTATACAGGATTTATCCTACTATTGTTGTTTGGAGTTGAAGGGCAAAGAGGAAGAAATACTGAAGGCACTTTCTCCAATGTGTAGCACAGATGCAGGTAAACCTGTTTCAAAGTTGAGTGCTGTTTTAGTCTTCACATATTTATTCATATCATGAGCATTCATATCATCATCATTTTGGAATTTAAACATTTATAAAAATGCACGAGACAGTTCTTGTTCCCAGGAGTGTGTTAACATTAGGGAAGGTTGGGTGGTTTCAAGTGATTTCTAACATTGTCAAGTATAAAGTGAGAGAGCCATTATTCTGGGAGAGTGAGTTCAGTCGATCAGAAACTCAAACTTCATTAAATCATTCATTCACTATTTATTGAGAATTTATTGTGTGCCGGGCTTTCATTTTTGCATTGATCAAAACTAGCACCTCATCCCTCATGGAGGTAGACAACAAGTAACAATATGGTGATCTGGAGATAATACTGCCATCTCAGTGCTGGGGATCATGGAATTTTGTTTTTATTTATGTCAGGACTGACTTTTGCAGCAGTTCACTGCTTGTCTGGAAAGCACCAAGGTAGTGTCCTGCTCTGTCGGGCAAACAAATACCCTCAAGAGATGCTGGGGCCTGTCACATTTATTTGGAAGTCTGAGAGGACCCCTGTTCACACTTCTGAGAGCAGGCAATTGTGGATCTGGTTTCATCCAGCTCTTAAACAGGTATAATCCCTTTTTTTTTTTTTTAAATTTTATTTATTTACTCATGAGAAACACAGAGAGAGAGGCAGAGACACAGGCAGAGGGAGAAGCAGGCTCCATGCAGGGAGCCCGATGTAGGGCTCGATCCTGGGACCCCAGAATCACACTCTGGGCTGAAGGCATGCACCAAACCACTGAGCCACCCAGGCATCCCTTCTTCCTTTTTAAGGTAGATTGGATTCTCTGATATCTATTCTCTTTTGTGTTATATTAATTTTAACTTCCGTATTTGTTACGGTGTAAAGTCTTGTAACAGAAAGATGTAAAATGCAGTACTCACGCAAGGCCTAGTAGGAACATTAGACCAAATGCAGCATTTCAAACCACTGCATAATACGATGGGTTTTCATCTCTGCCTTTACTTAATGGCTTACTAAAAACTGAAAGGTCAAAACTTGCTTCATTTTATATTCACATAACATTCTTCCCTTTATTCAAATACCAAGCTATCAGCCCAACTTTTATAGTATTTAAATTTCCAAAGCACTGATTTCAATGGTAATTAAGAGTTACTCTGCAGTAACAGAGTCGGAGAAGAATTAATCTCAAGGATTATACCTGTGTAGGGCACCCCAGGTGGCTCAGCGGTTTAGTGCTGCCTTCAGCCAGGGCCTGATCCTGGAGACCCAAGGTGTAAATTTTTTAAGGGAGAAAAAAAAAAACATGAACTGAACCACCTGAAGTGTTTCAGTATTTCCTTAGGATATTTTAGAAGAACTAAAAGCAGCGTGCCAGTGTGTGGAACCCATCAAATCAACCATCTGCACCCCTGACCCCCTGCTGACAACATCCCAAGAAAAAAGCCAAACTGAACTGCCTGATGAGAAAATTGGCAAGAAAAGAAAATGGAAAGATGATGGAGAAAATGCTAAACCAGTTAAAGTTATCGGTGATGGAACTAGAGATCCACATCAACCATATTCTTGGGTCTCTCCAGCCACAGGCATTATAATCAGGTACAGGCTGAATTTGCTCTGAACCTACTGAACAGTTTTAGTGAAGACTTACTCTGTTTTCACCAGTGGCTAGACACTGTGTATGATGGAAGTTTCCATCTTAAGACCTTTTCTCTCTTTCAGTGATTTGACGATGGAGATGAACAGGCTTCGGTTAATTGGTCCACTTTCCCACTCCATCCTAACTGAGGCTCTAAAAGCTGCTTCTGTCCAGACCGTAAGAGTAAATTTGACTGTAGTGTTTTATTCCACTCCTGTCCTTAGCAAATTTGTGAACCCTAACATACTTTGGTAGCATTTTGGGCCATGGCCTATAAATGTTTATTTCTCTACCTATGCTTATTACCAAATACATGGTCATCTTTCACTTCTAGAAGAACAAAGCTAAGCAAATCTAATGAGTAAACAGACTTATCCTTATTTAAATGCAGAGTATGCTTATAGTTTGTGAGTTTTGTGAGTTTGTGGGTAACAGCCCCTAAAATTACTGAAAGTGTGTGCCATTGTTTGTTTGTACTTGCATGATACATATTTTCATATTTTCTGGGGCTAGGTTTTTTTTTTTTAAGAAATTTTTATTTAAATTCAATTAACATACAGTACATTATTAGTTTCAGAGGTAGAATTCAGTGATTCATCAGTTATATATAACACCCTGTGTTCATTACCTCACATGACTTCCTTAATGCCCATTACCCAGTTACCCCTTACCCTCATTCGCCTCCTTCCAGCAACTCTTAGTTTATTTCCTCTAGTTAAGAGTCTCTTATGGTTTGTCTCCTGCTCTGATTTTGTCTTATTTTTCCCTCCCTTCCCCTCTGATACTCTGTTTTGTTTCTTAAATTCCACATATGAGTGAAATCATAAGATAATTGGCTTTCTCTGATTGGCTTATTTCCCTTAGCATAATACCCTCTAGTTCCACCTACAATGTTGCAAATGGTAAAATTTCATTATTTTTGGTGGCTAATATTCCATTATGTATATGTACCACATCTTCTTTATCCATTCATCTGTCTGTGGACATCTGGGCTCTTGCCATAGTTTGGCTATTGTGGATATTGCTGCTGTAAACATTGGGGTGCAGGTGCCCCTTTGAATCAATATGTTTGTATCCTTTGGATAAATACCTAGTGGTGCAATTGCTGGGTCCTGGAGTAGCTCTATTTTTAGCTTTTTGAGGAACCTCCACATTGTTTTCCAAAGTGGCTATACCAGCTTGCATTCCCACCAACAGTGTAAGAGGGTTCTCTGGAGCTGGTCTTAAGGGTCTGTGATCCCTAAAAGGTTAAGAGCAATACATCTAGTGTGGCACTGTCCAACTTCCTGCAAGGATCATATTTTTCTCTGGTGCCTGGTATGGTAGCCGTTAGCCACAGTAGCTCTTGAGCACTTGAAATGTGGCTGGTGTGACTGAGGAACTGAGTTTGTACCTTCATTTTTTTTTTTAAAGATTTATTTTTATTTATTTATGATATAGAGAGAGAGAGAGAGAGAGGCAGAGACACAGGCAGAGGGAGAAGCAGGCTCCATGCCGGGAGCCCAACACGGGACTTGATCCGCTGAGCCACCCAGGGATCCCCTGTGCCTTCATTTAATTTTAATTAACTAGAAATTAAATAGAAATTGGTCTCTGTAGCTGTAGTGTGCAAGTTGACCACACAGGTCTAGAGAGGAGAGATGAGATTAGGAATCAGACACTCTGGGTTCAGATTTAGTTTGTTTCCCTGTGTTAGTACAATTAACCCTTCCATGCCGGTGCCTCTCACAGATTTGATATGGTCAAATAAGATGGTAGGTCAGAACAGATTTTGAGCTTTTAGAGGAAAGGTATTTTAAAAATCAAAGGCTACTTCTGTTCCTCTCTCTGTTGCTTCTGTACTGGCCTCAGCCACTCTCTCTTGCCTGTCTGCATACTGAAGCAGCTTCCTCACTTCTGCTGTTCCTCCTTTTCACTCCATCCTCCATGCAGGAAACGCAATGATTTTTTAACAATTGATTTACATCAAGTCACTTCCCAATTAAAAGCTTTTGAATAGCTTCTTACTGCATTTGTGGTGAAACCCATAGTCCTTACCGTGACTGCATACTGTTGCGCCTTCCTGCCTTTCTGGCTCCCTGTCCCTGCAGCTCAGCCGTGCTGGTCTTCTCAGGTCCTAGAATATGTCAGGTCTCAGCTCCCTTAAAACCTTTACGCTTAAAAAACAAAACAAAACAAAAAAACAACCTTTACACTTGCTTTTTTTCCACCTGGCTGAAAATTCTGCCCCCAGCCCCTCTTTGCTTAATGAAACCTTCCTTATTCTTCAGATTTCAGCCTCTATACCTCTGGAATCCCTTCCTGAACCTCAAGTCAAACGATATAAATTATATTTCATTCCATTTTGCACATTCCCTCAGTTTATCTGTCTAGATTTGCTTGTGTACTTACGTGATGTTCACACTGAAATTGGTGAAGGCAAGGACTCTGTCCCCAGTGCTTAGCACAGTGCCTGGCACAGAGTAGAGGTTTCACTCTAGCTAATAAGTTGCTCAGGAAGGATTTGAACCTAAGAAGTTGGTTCCAGAGCCTGTACTTTAAATCAATAAGCTATGCTACCTGAGTTTCTGTGAGGTAAATAGCTCATATGTTAACAGATTGCTTCTCTAGAATCTGTAGGAGCGTATCCTACTTTACTGAACTTTAGTATGAATCATGGCGGTATGTTCTCTTTCTTGGTGTGCATCTGGTACTGAGGTGCTTTTTTGTTTTCTTTTTTTGTTTTTAAGTTTTTATATTTTATTCTTGTAAGTAATCTCTATACCGAACATGGGGCTCAAACTCATAACCCTGAGATCAAGAGCCAGCCAGATGCCCTTGAGGTGCTTTTTGAAACCTTTCCCAATTCCTGGTTCTTTTTGGGAAAAATATAAGTGAAATATTTGTGTATCTTATTTGAAGTTATTTGAACAATGTAATTGTAAGATATCCTTTTGCCAAAGATTTCTTCAAACAGCATAGGTTTGGTTTCTCTTTGATGGGGAAGATTTTATTGCTTAAATTGGCATGAAGTTGGTGGTAATGGAGGAGGAGCAAGGAGCAGGCCTCTTTTGTTGGTAGTGTTCTGTGAAAAGAGCACAGGTGTGAAGTAGCTTAGGTAGTCCCTCTGAAAACCATGGCTGTGGTTTTTAGTGTGTGAAATGTTGAGAGAAGTGTAATGCTGTGTCCTTGCCTCTAATTAGAAGAGTAGTTAGGCAGGTGTTAATTATTGTGTTAAATTAGGTGGCAGTTTCTCACATATCTCAACTGTAACAGAATTGTCAAGTCTGATTCATTACCTGTCTGGTAAGCAGTTGTTATTTTTCAGAAAGGAGAGGACGCAGAGAAGACACCTCACCACTGGTGGATTGAAACCTGTAAGGATCCTGATAGCGTTTCCCTTCATCACAGACAAGAAGCCATTTTTGAGTTGTTGGGAGGTATTCAGAGGGTAAAGTGGGTAGTTTGGGGAAGAAGGGAGGAGTGGGAAGTGGGTCAAGAGAGTGTTTTACAGTTGGGCTAACTCCATGGGAGTGGTGCTTTTTTTTAACTTGTAACTCTCGTCACAATACAGCAAGAAGACACAGCAAACAGGAGTTTATGTTAGTATTCCGAATAACTGGCATTCTGATACAGTAGCTAAACACATAGACCAGGTTCCAGACTAAGGTCTATACTTAACCTGTGTACAGTTGTGTCTGTGTGTGAAGCTACTGTAGTTAACCACTGATGGAAATATACGTGTTCATGTTATAAAATAATCTGTTATGTTAATTTACTGGTTTTGGTGGGAACCGTCGCTCTTTATGAATGTTAATTCACTCTCTGAAAGTATTAATGGGAAAAAAGAGGAAATGTATGTTTTTTAATAGCCCAAGAAGAAATTTTTATTTAAAAATTTGAAAATACAAGCAAATATATGTATATTGTGAATGACTTTGTAAAAGCTTGTTTTTTTGTTGTTTTTTTTTTTTGTTGTTGTTGTTAAAGGAGTAACCTCACCAGCAGAAATTCCGGCTGGTACTATTTTGGGATTGACAGTTGGGGATCCTCGAATAAATTTGCCTCAAAAGAGGTCCAAAGTTTTGCCCAATCCAGAAAAATGCCAAGGTAAAGTTTGTAGAACACCCCTGATTTTCCTTGCAATTTTGAGTAGGTTAGTCCCATTAGAAGAGTTCTGACATCTCTGCACTAACTTTATTTGTAAAAAACGGGGGTGATCTTTACCTGCCTCCCTTTCAAGGTGTTAATGACCAAAGGAGATGGTGTGTATGCAAGTATGGAAGTATTTTTTAGCTATGAGATGTGTAGTCTGATCCTCATGTTCATTTTTTTTTCCTGAGTTCTTTATTTTTAGTATCTGGTAAAAATCTTTCTGCAGACTGGGTTTTCTGAAAATGCCTGGCATTTCAGAATTTTAATTGTGAGGAAGGGATCTGCACCCACAGCTGGTCTTGTGCTCATTGGAAGCCTCTGTCTGACCATACAGATGATCCAGGTTCGAATCCTGGCAAGGCCATCCCAGGTGCTGAAGATGTCTTGGTTTAGACTCAGTAGAGTGGCCTGTGGGAGGTTGTTCTGTGAGGGTGGCCATCGGAAGGTGGGTAGGACAGCTGGCTTTTTAATCTGATCTGGGATTTGCAACAATTGTGATAGTATCGCATTGTATTTATTGTCAGTTAAACACTATTAATTGGTAGAACCATTAAAATTACCTTCTGAGGGATCCCTGGGTGGCGCAGCGGTTTGGCACCTGCCTTTGGCCCAGGGCGCGATCCTGGAGACCCGGGATCGAATCCCACGTCGGGCTCCTGGTGCATGGAGCCTGCTTCTCCCTCTGCCTGTGTCTCTGCCTCTCTCTCTCTCTCTGTGACTATCATAAATAAATAAAAAAATTAAAAAAAAAAAATAAAATAAAATTACCTTCTGAGTTTTGAGAGGAAAAATACAGGTATGTGTAGTAATAGTTTCAGATTTTTTTTTTTTTTTTTTACCTCCATGTGTAGTTAATAGCGTATTAAGGGAGCAACAGATTAGTCTGTCAGAACCTCACATGCAAGGTGAGGGAGGAGTTTGAAGATCTGTAGGCAGCTAATTATGGGATCTCAGACATGAGTTGTTGCCTTTTTTCTTTTTAATGGCATTATGGTCTGGTGCAACCCTAAAAGTTGCATTGTTGACTCTGCATTAAATGTTGACTGTCATAATTGCCGTAAAGCTATAGTTAAACTCCACTTTGTTTGCCTCGCTGCTTCAGATCCTTTTTTGGAATGAGGCAGTTATGTATTCAATTTTTTTTAAGACTTTTATTTTCATATGAATCAGTTCCAGGAAAATTAAAGTCTACCTTGAAAACATGATTTCATTTCTATGAAGGCCTACCATCTTGTTAGTGATTGTGCTTTTTTATTGAAACCTGTTTTAGGTAATTTCGTTGAAGTATTGGTATGTGAACTACATAAAGAAGTAAACTTTTTAAGGGATTAGTATTATTCCAACATTACCAACAAATGTAACACATCATCTAGGATGATAATTCAAAACTAAAGTTTGAAATATACTTTGAGCTGGGTCAATTAATAAAAGACTAATCCTTGGAAGAATCTCAATGTCATGATGACATAAAACATAATTCTCTGATGTACTTCCAATTTCTCTTTCTATAGCTGAGGTTAACCTTTGCCTATTTTGACTTAGACAAAACAGACCAATTTTGGTGCCACTTAAGCCATAAGGAAGGGTTTGCCTGATTCGGATAACAAACTGTCTTCTTATGTGTACTGGGAATCAGAGAACTCTGAAAAGAGAGGGTATATAGCTGTGATACTGTGAGAGTAAGAAATATGCGTTTTGGTTTTTGTGCGGATACACCTGTCTCTAGCATATTGCTTCTAAAATCCTTTAAATTCTTAAAATTAAAGCCTTAAAGGCTAAAGGAATGTCTTTTCTTATTCATTAAAGCCCCTTTCAGTCATCACTTTTATGTGAAGGATGGTGGGCTGGTTACCTGGGGAACCACCCACCAGGTTAGAGGGCTGGAACTTTGGGTGGCCCTTCTAACCCCTGCCCCACCCAGACCTGCTTCTGAGAGGGGGAGAGGGGTTAGAGATTGAGTTTGATTCTCAGTGGGCAATGATTTCATCAATCATGCCTACCTGATTATGCCTCTGTAAAAATCTTAAACAGTTGTGATTTGGTGAACTTTCAGTTTGCTGAACACTTGGAGGTGTTGGGAGGATTGTGAGTCCAAAGGGGGCAAGGGCTTCATTCCCTCATACCTTACCTTATCTGGCTCCTCCATCTGGCTGTTTCTAAGTTCAGTCTTCTTATTTAAAAAACACAAACCAACAACTAAACAAAACAGTAATGGATTAAGTAAACTGTTTTCTTGAATTCTGGGAGCCATTCTAGGAAATTGTTGCATTTGAGGAGGAGGTCATACATGAGACCAGTTTATAGCCAGCTGATCAGAAGTATAGGAGACCAGAGACTTCTAATTGGCATCTGAAGAAGGGGCAATCTTGTGGGACTGAGCCCTTAACCTGTGGGATCTGACACTGTCTCCAGGAAGGTTGTGTCAGAACTGATCTGAATTGTAGGACCCCTAGCTGGTGTTGCAGAATTACTTGCTTTTGGGGAAATGACTGCACATTTGAGTGTCAGAAGTGTTGGGAGTAGAATAGCAAGAGTGTAGAGAAGGAAATAGTTTCTTTCAGTGAAAAATGTGAAATAATGATGCATACTTTCAGGTGCTTTGACAAAGTTTCCTTGATCATTTGATCCTTGAATTTGATTTCAAATATTAATAATGGTTTTTCAAATCTTTTCAACTTAACACAGCATTTCAGTATGTAAGTAACTTGTTTTCTGTATGAGATTTCAAAATAAATTCCTGTTGTACTGTTGTTTTAGTATTTATTCTCCTTAGCATCTTCTGATTTGTTCTGATAGATGAGTTTAACTAGTCTTTTTCATCCAGATGAATTTGCTTTAGAAAATGCATTGCGTGTGCTTTTGGACTCTATAATCTTTCTCTACCACTCTTCGGTAGTGTGTATACCCCAAACACAGGAAGAGTCAAGTTGTGTTTAGAGTGATAGGTGAGAGATTATCCCCTTTTATAGCTTTTCCAAGCACTGTTAGAGCATTGATCTGCAATTGACTTTGTGAAGTATCCAATTATTAGTCATTGTGCACTGACTTCTCTGTTTTTGCTCTTGGGAGAAAAAAACCCTCATAGCTTCAATTGGTCCCCTTTAACTGTTCTGTATGTTTAATTTAAAACAGAGTGAATTTGAAGACTGTAACTTTGGTTTATTTGATTCCCAGATGAGAAAAACTTAAATTTCCTTTGTTCTTAAGGAAAACTTACTAAAAGAAAGTATTAGTTTCAAACATGGTCATCTCCAAATACATTTAAGAAAGGAGAAAGCATGCTATTTCCTTCAACCTCTAAGTTATTCTGCAGTTATGTAGTTCATTAGAAGACTTTTGCCTGGGCATGAAAGAAACTACGCTTTATTTCAGTCTTGGGCATAGGACTTAGAATTACATTTGGAATCGATAGTCATTGTAGGCCCACTTAGGTAAAGCTGACTTAGCTGGTGGTATTCTTTTTCCCTCACTACTTGACTGTTGACTTAAAAGGACCTTCTTTGCCTTCAGACATACTCCATTTTGTTTTAAATAGACTTTATATTTTTGAACAGTTTTAGGTTCACAGCAAATTGAGTGGAAGGAATAGAAAGTTCCTGTATTCTCCTTTCCCCACCCCCACCCCATCCCAGCATGGCCTCCATGAGCCTGCACTAACATATCATTGTTACCTGAAGTCCACGGTTTCCTCTTGGTGTTTTATTTCTGTGGGATTTGACAAATTTATAACAACATGAATCCATCAGTGTAGTATTATAAAATAGTTTCGCTTCTCTAAAAATCTGTGCTCTGCTTATTCATCTCTCTCTCTCTTTCTCTTTCCCAGCCCTTGATCTGCTTATAGTCTTCATAGTTTTGTTTTCTAGAATGTCCTCTCATTGGAATCAATACAATATGTAGCCTTTTCAGATTCTTTTCTTTTACTTTGTAGTAAGTGTTTAAGGTTCCTCCATGTCTTTTCATGGCTTTGTAGCTCATTTCTTTTTAACACTGAATAATATTCCATCATCTGGATGTACTACCTACTTTGTTTCTTCTATTTAAATATCATTGTTTTTTAGAATATTTGAAGATGAAGCTGTCTTTCCTGTGCCTTTACATCCTAAGTATCAGCCCTGTCTTTTGTAGAGTCCCACTTCTGTCACTCAGATCGTGGCAGCACTCCACAGGAAAGCATTCTAGATAAACAGAGAGGCTGTTTGAGATGGAGCCTCTTTGCTCCTAGACAGGCTATGTGAACTTTCACAGCACGTAGCACTATTAACTTAAGATACTGTTGGTTATTATCTCCATGAAGAACAGGAGCGGACTAGAAGCAGTTTCTGCTTTAAGGAGCTTTTATCTCAGATCTTTTCATCAATTTAATATTCTCTATCTTTGTTCTCCCCTGAAATCTGTCACAGTATGGCCCAGAGGCTTCCAATTTATTATTTTTTTTTCCAGCCATCAGACTCATGCAGGTATGTGCCTTTGAGTGACCTTTCTATGTAGGCAGTTTAGAGGCTAGCTAAAACTCATGAATTGTCTTTCTTTTTTTTTTTTTTTCTTTTAATTTTTCAGACCAACAGAATAGATTTGGAAGATTTTTCCCCCCTAGTGTTTAAATGACTTCATGTAGGATATCTCTTCTATCAATATAACATTTGTAATTGAAAAAGTTTCTTCTTTTTTTCCCACTAGAATGCTTTTTGGCATGGCACAGCTTATTTAAAGGGATGAAACAATATATTTCACAGGAACTATGCTCTTTTTAAAGGAATGTGAAGAACCTATTTTACAGAAGAAATAAATATTCAGTTCAATGAGAAAGGATTATAAAAGACTTGAAATAATAGAGCAGAAGAAAAAGCTGATATCTATTGGCTCACAACCATTGGGCCAGGAATGCTATAAAGAACCCTGAAACCAATAGTTACAATATGGGTTGTCCTGTCCTAGCACATTGTAAAAAAAATTGTTCACCTGTGCAGTGGTTCCTAGAATTCAGTTATCTTAAATGTGGGATTAGGCAGCTATTTCAAGGCAGCTGAATGTGATACTTATATTTTATATGCTAAAAATAAATGCCAAAAAATAAGTTTAGGAGCCTTTGCAGTTTTGCAGATTATGAAATCAACTATAGGAATAACTTAATTTCTAGTCAAGAAAATTCTTCTAGATGTGGTATAGGTATACAATGGATTACTCATCCATTGGAAACAACAAATAACCACCATTTGGACGTGGATGGAACTGGAGGATATTCTGAGTGAAATAAGTCAATTGGAGAAGGACAAACATTATATGCTCTCAGTCATTTGGGGAATATAAAAATTAGTGAAAGGGAAAGGAGAGAAAATGAGTGAAAATATCAGTGAGAGTGACAAAACATGAGAGACACCTAACTCTGGGAAATGAACAAGGGGTAGTGGAAAGGGAGGTGGGCAGGGGGTTGGAGTGACTGGGTGATGGGCACTGAGGGGGGCACTTGGCGGGATGAGCACTGGGTGTTATGCTATATGTTGGCAAATTGAACTCCAATAAAAAAATTAAAAAATAAAATTCTTCTAGAGAAGTTAAATGAGCGCCTACAAAATATTTTCTTGTAATAGAAGGTCAACCAGCAATGTTTAGAGTTTGACCTCATTGTTCTAAAGGATGTCGTCTAAAGGCTATTTCTTTTCCCTCTTAGATAATGAGAAAGTTAGACAGCTGCTCCTGGAGGGTGTGCCTGTGGATTGTGCGCATAGCTTTATTTGGAACCACGCTATCTGTAAGAATGTCACAGAGAATAAAATCTCGGATCAGGTAACTAATGGTGTAAGGATTATTGGTAAAGTCCTGAAGATAGGTTGAAATTCCCCACTCTAGACTCTGTAGAAGTTATTTGATACTTTATAGAATCCCATAGACTTCCTTTTATTTTCTACTTATCGATCCTTAGGATTTGTGTGTGTGTGTGTGTGCTCTTAGAGAAGAATAGTCTCTGGAAAAAGTTGCTTCAAAGACTTTTTCTTGAAATGATAATCCCATGGTTTAAATACATATTTTTCTTTTACTGTTTTTTTTCCCCTTTAAATGTTCTAACTTTAATTTCACAATGACGGAGCTACCAGGACTAGGAATCATAGTAGATGGTGGGATAGATGGCTAAGGTATATTCAAGGAAGTACAGGATTAGAGGAAGCCCAAAGAAGGGGTGCCAAGCTCAGACTAGGGAAACTGGAGAAAGCTTCCTGGATAGGGGAGCTGGTATTTGAGCTGACTTTTAGATGGGTGGGCAGAGTTAAACCAGACTTCTTGGGATCAGGAGCCAAGACAGCAGTAAAGAAAAGGATTGCTGGAAGTGAGACCAGCAAGTACAAGGGCCCAGGATGATGTGTTCAGGAATCTCTAAGTAGATCAGTAGCTTGGAGTTGAGGATGGGGCAGGAGATGAAGAAATGAATAAGGGTCAGAGCATAAAGAACCTTGAGGCATTTTAAGGATTTAGACAGGGGACGTAGAGTGCCATTGAAGGGTTTTAGCTGGGCCATCATGACATGATCAGCTTTCACCCTGGCAGCATTGTGGGAGGTGGGTTAGACTAGGAATGGGGGTGGGGGCAGGAGAGCGGGAGATCAGACTTGTGGTTGGATGGCTTTAAAAGAGACCCTGGATGTAGTCCTTAATGGAGGACATGATGAACTCAATCTTGGATAAACTGAGTTGGAAGATCCTCAGGACTGCCCCAAAGGAGATGCCAGGAGACAAGGTTTTGATCCCAGGGGAAAAATCGGGGTTATGGACACAGATATTTTGGAATTACTACCCTGTAGAGATGGTGGTGGCAACTCAACCAGAGGTTAACAAGGAGAATCAGGACTTGGTCGTGCTTGAGGAGCATTCATGAGGTAGCAGTCAGACTTGTCATTGTGGAGGCAGCCTCTGGTATCATCTCTTAGGTGAGTGCTGGGCTTCTCTCCTGCCTGTTCATCTCTTTTTGCAGCTGGCGAGAGAAGTCTGACCACTCCCTACAGTCCAGATAATAAGTAATTTATGGCATTTTTTTCTTTTAAATCTTTAAGACCTGGTGAAAAAATTTCTCCAGAGCCAAAGTATTTTCCCACTTGCCGCTCCTTGAGAAGTTGTTTATTGTTTGTATCTTTTTTACTTCCTGACAACAAATCTTAACCAAAGTAAATATAGGGACTGAGCATCAAAATATAAAACTAATCCTGATATAAGAGATTAGCAAAATAGATGTATTTTATTTTTAAATTTTGAATCATGTGGTGTATTGAAGCTCAAATTCAAGATAATTTGGCATTTTCTATCAAAGCACTTGTATAGAGGAAAATCATTATAGGAGGAATACCGTGCATTTCAAATGGCTTACATTTATTTATTGAGAACATTTTTTTTCTTGGTTTTTGAAAGAGCATTTAACTTTCTAAAGCTGCTTATAGGGAGTACCAGTAGAATCTCCCAGAAAATTAGGATTGTTTGTCTTGAATTATTTTTTTCCACTCTAGGATTTAAACCGGAAGAGAAGTGAATTGCTGGTGCCCGGGTCACAGCTTGTTTTAGGGCCCCAGGAATCCAAGATACCTATACTTTTGATTCAGCAGCCAGGGAAGGTGACTGGTGATGACCAACGAGGCTGGGGAAGTGGCTGGGACATCCTGCTCCCAAAGGGCTGGGGCATGGCCTTCTGGATTCCATTTGTAAGTTTCTTTTCAATTCCCACTTTACAGTGTGTAAAATACATTCCTAGTAAATAACAAGTGCTAAAATTGTTCTAGATTTCACACACAACTTAGAAACTGAGTGCTGGGGAAAAAAAAAAAAAGAAATTGAGTGCTGTTTTTCTACCCTTAGAGCTATAATTCTGATACAAGATACTTTTTTTAAAAAGATTTATTTATTTATTTATTCATGAGAGACACAGGCAGAGGGAGAAGCAGGCTCCCCGCAGGGAACCCAATGCGGGACTGGATCCCAAGACCCCGGTATGATGCCCCGAGGCAAAGGCAGACACTCAACCACCGAGCCACCGAGGTGTCTCCTGACACAGATAATTCATAAAGTCCCTGGAGCCAGGTTTCATTGATGGGCTGACATAGTGTGAATTTTTGAGATTTTGAAAGTGTCCTGATTTTTGAATAGTAGTGGCAACAAAATGTCAGGGTGGTTTTTTGTTTTGTGTGGTTTTGTTTTGTTTACTCAAAAGAATTTTAAAAGTTTAAAAGCAATTTTCATAATTTTCTAATTTTTATGGTTCTGTAGAATACTTTTATTTTTTAAGTGCTGACCATGTATTCCTGTTAACTGCAGCTAAAATTTTTATTAAAATCCAGTGTGTTTTTTTTCTTTTCGATAGTTTAAATATTTTGAGCTAGAGAGTATAAAAGACATGTACGACTGTTAAATTCACACAGGTAAATAATTTTAGCGATTATGCCTAGTACAAGAGACATTTGGTTAAGCATTTAAGAATGGGAATATTTCAGGATCCCTGGGTGGCGCAGTGGTTTGGCGCTTGCCTTTGGCCCGGGGTGCAATCCTGGAGACCCGGGATCGAATCCCACGTCGGGCTCCCGGTGCATGGAACCTGCTTCTCCCTCTGCCTGTGTCTCTGCCTCTCTCTCTCTCACTGTGTGACTATCATAAATAAATAAAAAATTAAAAAAAAAAAAAAAGAATGGGAATATTTCTTGCTCCTGATTGGCTCATTTGTTAGGTCAGGAGTTTGAGCCTAATGCTGAGTATAGAGCTTACTTAATTTTAAAAAATATATCAATATATTATATATGATTAATTATTTAAAATTATTAATAATTTTATATTTAAATATATTTATATATAAAAATTATATATATACATAAAATAATAAAAGTGGGAATATTTTTAAAAAATTCTAATTTTTAAATTATTAGATGTTTCAAGCATACAAAATATAGATACTGATATAATGAACAACTCTATTTACCCTTCAGTCACCATCCAGCTTAAGAAATAAAACAGATTTATTGGAAGCATTCTTTCTAGTTTCATTTCCCACCCTCCTTCTTAAAAGAATCCACTATTCCTATTTTTGGTGTTTGTTACTACCTTGCCTGTTTTTATAGCTTTATTTTAAGTGTGCTTGTATCCCAAAATAAAATAACTATATTTGACATGTTTTCAAACTTTATATACCTCACCACATATATGCTTTTGCAACTCACTATATTCACTCAACATTAAGATTTTCCCATATTGATGGTGAAGCTCTGTTTCATCATTTTTGCAGTTGTAGAACTCATTGTAGGATTATCCCATTCTGTTTTTGATGGGCATTTAGGTTATTTCCCATTTTCTTTTTATTTATTAGAGAGAGAGAACGAGTGCACAAGCAGGGGGAGCAGCAGAGGAAGAGGGAGAAGCAGGCTCCCCGCTGAGCAGGGAGCCCAATGTAGGGCTCAATTCCAGAGTCCTGGAATCATGACGTGAGCCAAAGGCAGACACTTAACCGACTGAGCCACCCAGATGCTCCCCATTTTCTCTATACAAACACTGATTTTACTATAAGTTGGTATATTAATAGGATATTTTTGACATTTCTTTTAGATCTACCGAGGTGCAAGAGTTGGTGGGTTAAAAGAGTCTGTAGTGCATTCGCAGTATAAAAGGTCACCTGACATTCCTGGTGATTTCCCAGACTGCCCTGCTGGGGTTCTGTTTGCCCAGGAGCAAGCCAAGAATCTCCTTGAAAAGTATAAAAGGTAAGAAACCGGCTTCTCTAGTTTCCTAAGGTCTTATGAGGAAGAGAAGGGCCTACTCAGCACTGGCAAATGCTATTTGGAATGGCTTCAGGAACTCTTATATAATGTGGAGTTTTCATAGACTTTCCCTGAGTTCACATAACCAAGACATAATTAGGTCAGAAGATTGTCATATATATGACTTTTGTAGGCCTGTCCAGGTTATAGACCCTTCCTTGTGGTCATTTGCTTACAATGATGATGGCATATGTCTAAACTATGGTCCTGAGTTTCAGATGCTTGATTGAGATTTACACTACCAGCCCCTGTTCCCTCAAAATAGAGTTTGTGTTTTTTATAACTGGTTATAGAGGTAATACATATTTATGAACTTTTTTTGTGTGAACTTTTAATGAAACTATGGGAATGTGTAAAAATGCTTTGTAAACTGGTATATTCCTTCCATCCAGAGAGATAAGTAGTGATGTTAGATTTTGGTATCTATCCATCTAGACTTTTTTCTTTTCTCTCACTAGGGGAGTGGCCAGTGAAGGGCTTTACATCTATACTGTGAAGTACTTGCTACCTTTGACAACCTGGATCTCCTACCATGCTCTGGGCTCCTGGAAGCACAGAGACTCTCTTGTTCGTTGTGGCATCTGGCCAGTGCCTGGTGCATGATGCCCTTAATAACTTTCTTTGTTGACTGATGAATGAGTAGATAATAGGTTGTTGTAGTTCCTTGACCATGAGCTCTATGATTGTGTTTTCCTGTTTACCACAACCACAGAGGCAGGCAGTGCTAGGTTTTCAGGCTTTGTCAAGTGGATGCATGAGTGGAAGGACAGGGATACTTTCCTAGATTGCTGGCTTGCAAGCTCTTTGAGGGCAGCAATCATGTGTTGTGTGCCTCCCAGAATACAGGGAGGAGAATCTTCTATGTGTTTGTTAAATAACAATTGACAATAATACTTATTTCTCACCCTTTAGATTTCTTTACTCATACAAATTTTTCTTAGGTATAGGTTTTTTTGAAAAGGAATTATATACTATTTCAAAACCTGCTTTTTAAATTTAGCAATCAATTATGGATAGTTTTCTCATATCAATAAATGTGACTCTAAACCAAGTGTTGGCAAACTTTTTTGTAAAAGGCCAGATGATAAATATTTTTGGCTTTGTGGGACCTTTGGTTTCCACCATAGCAGCCACTCAGCTCAGCTCTGCCTTGTGGCACAAAGGCAGCCACAGATGATACAACCACAGCATGGCTGTGGGCCATCCTTACTCTGTCTATGGACACTCAACTTTGAATTTCACATAATTTCATGTGCCATAAGATGTTCTTTTTTTTTTTTAACCATTTCCAAACATAAAAGCCATTCTTAGCTCATGGGTCATATCAAAGCAGACAGTGGGCCAGGTTTGGTGTGTGAGTCATAATCTGCCAACCCTTGCTCAAAATAGAACTGAACAGCTGCATCCAGGACTCCAGTATGGATGTCCTGTAATTAATCAGTGGCCCTTTAGTGGCCCAAAAAATCATTTCTAATTTTTTGCTATGTGCTTCTGTGAACAGCTTTCCATATGCATCTTCACGTATTTGTCTGATTTATTCATTCGTTTAACATACTGATTTAGAACCTGCTATGTGTCAAAGGCTTCTTGGCACCGGGCCTACAACAGAGAAAGGCAAGAAAATCTCCTGTCCTCATGGAGTTTATGTTCTAGAAGCACATGTTTCTAGGTTGGTGGGAGGGAACCGGCAGAGAGGAGGGAGGCTAACATTGCAAGAACAAAGCCCTTGAGTGGGGAGGGGGGAATGGTATTCCATAGGGTCAGGCTCAGATCTCTCATTTTAGTGGGCTGGAAGACTGATGCTGAGATATGAATACAGATTGAGATGGGGTAGACTGGCATAGAGAAAAGGTTAGAACTCTCCTGATCGTGACCATCTCCTCTGTGATAAAAAGAGGCAAGGTTATTGGGAATAAGAAGGGGAGAGAGGCTGTTGGAGATTTGAGGAGAGAGGAATCCATATAGACCATTTTCCAGAATAGTGGAAGGTAGAACTGACTGGAGAAATGTCAGGGAGTCCACTTGAGTTTCATGTATACTATATGACTCAGGACTTCTGCATATTCTTCCCCAGCCCTGTTTTGCTGATCCAGGGCTGGCAGGAATAGGTGGAGGGTTGGATGTAACCAGGTTGGGCTTTGCCAGGTGGAGAAAGTTGAGGGTACATATAGGGGAGTGATTCTCATACGTTTAAGTTTAAGCTTTTTAAGAAGAGACGTGTGAGGAGCACATGGCTCAGTCGGTTAAGATCTGGTTAAGTATGTCTTTGGCTCCGGTCATGATCTCATCTCAGGATCGTGGGATTGAGTCCCGCATCGGGCTCCCTGCTCAGTGGGCAGTCTGCTTCTCCCTCTCCCTCTGCTGCTCCCCCTGCTTGTGTGTGTTTTTTCTCTCTCTCTGTCAAATAAATAAAATCTTAAAAAAAAAAAAAAAAAAAAAAAAAGAAGAGACATATGAGAACAGTGGTGAGCTGTGAGAAGATGGTAAAGGAGTAAGTTCTAGTGCTCAAGGAGTTGTGCTGGGGGAGGGGTAAATAGGCTGGAGGGTAGATACTTGAAATACAAGGGTAGATACACTCTGAGGGTAGATAATTGAAATTGAGATTTTAAGGTGGAGCAGGTGATAGCAGTGACCAAAACTAAGGTGGAGCAGGTGATGGCAGTCACCAAAACTAAGGTGTCGTGTGACTGGGAGACTGGGTGTTTGAGGTGAAATGAAAGATGGGAAATGAAGACATGAAGTTACTGTAGACCAGGTGTTAGAAGGATGATGTAGGGATCCCTGGGTGGCGCAGCGGTTTGGTGCCTGCCTTTGGCCCAGGGCGCGATCCTGGAGACCCGGGATCGAATCCCACGTCGGGCTCCTGGTGCATGGAGCCTGCTTCTCCCTCTGCCTGTGTCTCTGTCTCTCTCTCTCTCTCTCTGTGACTATCATAAATTAAAAAAAAAAAAAAAAAAAAAAGGAAGGCTGATCTAGGTAAATACCAAAGCCACTGAGTAACAGGAGTCAAGATGGAGGGGAAGGAGGTGTAGCAGGTGGAGGGCGTGTATGGGTGGCTGATGGAGGATCTGGCTGAGAAGGGAGAGCCAGTGGTTCATCTAATGGCATGTGCTTCAGGGGAGCTGGGGTCTTGGAGGAGGAAGGAGAAGAAAAAATGGTGTGGGGGCATCAGGAGGACATCTGCCCCCTTCAGGCCCATGGGATGAAGAAAAGAAACTGCTCTCGCTACAGAGGAGCCAGAGGGGAAAGAAAACACAGACCTTAGACTAAATCCCATAAATAAGATTTCTGGCTTAAAAAAAAAAAAAAAAAGATACATGCCTCAAAGATTTTTTATACTATTGATGAGTGTTGTTTGTATTAATTTAGGATTTCACCTGTAGTTCAGAGGGTGCCTGTTTCCCCTCACTCCCGATAACATAGGATATTACCAACTTTTACTATTGATAAAAACTGATGGGTGGAAAAAGTGACATCTTATTGTTTTAATTTTTTGTTTGCTTCTGATGATGTTGAATACTTTGAAGTTTTTGCATCATTTTCTCTTTCTCTTTACTTTTTCTTTCTTTCTTTTCTTTCTTTCTCTTTCTTCCTTCCTTCCTCCCTCCCTCTTTCCCTCCCTCTCACTTCCATTTAAAGGTCTTTGGGTGAGGCAAGTATCCTGGGAGTATTTTTTACCAGTTACCCCTCTTGGGAGGCCAGAACATATTTGGTTCAAACTCCAGAGTGTAGGCTCAAACTGAACCCCCGATTAGGTCTTCAGGTTCATGTCCATTTGGGGTCCTGGGGCATGGCACATAGTAAGAAGCATGTGAGGGAAGGAATGTTAGGGCCTGTCCCACAGGAGATTGTCAATCTTGAGGGCAGGGTTCTGGGACTCCCTAAGAGTCTTCCAGCCCAGAATGTCTAACAGCCAGGCTGCTCCGTATGTTTTGGGGTCCTGGTTCTCATAAGCCTGTGGTATTTCTCAGAGGTTCTCCTTCTTTCGTCCATTGCTGAAAAAGTCGATTGCTATCGCCCTGTGACTTTGGAAATCTCTCTCAAAATTGCAAATGCTAAATAGTCTTTGCTTTAGCAGTTCCATTCCAGGAACTTACCAGTGGATATACTTGTGCTTGCATGATGTGTTCAGGGTCATTCATTGAAGCATCGTATATAGAAGCCAAAGTTTGAGACTACCAAAATGTCCTTTAATAAGGAACTATGTGAATAAACTAGGGTATGATCCAATAGTGGAGTAAGATATGCTGTTTTTTACAAAACAATAAAGGATCTCTTAATGTGCTCATATGAAATGATTTCCAAGGTATTTTGTTAAGTGAAAAAAGTTAAGCAAATGTACTGTATCTGATGTGTCACCACTTATGTAAGATGGGTAAGAAACAGAAAGAAATATGTAGGGCAGCCCACGTGGCTCAGCGGTTTAGCACCACCTTCAGCCCAGGGCCTGATCCTGGAGACCCGGGATGGAGTCCCACATCAGGTTCCCTGCATGGAGCCTGCTTCTCCCGCTGCCTGTGTCTCTGTGCCTCTCTCTCTCTGTGTCTCTCATGAATAAATAAATAAAATCTTAAAAAAAAATATGTACATGTCTGCACATACATACATAAAGTGTCTCTGGAAGGGTATATTGAGAAACTGATAATGACGCTGTCTCTTATAGGGCAGCTGGGACATTTACTTTCTTCTAAAGGTCTCTGAATGAGGCTAGTACCCCGGGACCATTTTTCACCAGCTACAAGTCGAGTGAGGGGAAACTTCACAGCCACCCCCTTCTGTTCCTTTTGAACTTAGAATGTTTTCATGTTCAGGGACATCACTGTATGAGTCCAGGGACAGCATGTATTTGGAGTCTTTCAGGAATGGCACTTCCTGGAGTTGTGCAGTGGCTACATGGGGCTGCTTTGTGGGACATATTACCTTTTGTCATTGAAACCACAGGAAACAAGCTTGGCCAGTAGAGTTGGTTGTTATTCTTTAACCATATTTGGAAATTTTTTTTTGTTTTTTTGTTTTTGTTTTTAATTTTTATTTATTTATGATAGTCACAGAGAGAGAGAGGCAGACACATAGGCAGAGGGAGAAGCCGGCTCCATGCACGGGGAGCCCGACGTGGGATTCGATCCCGGGTCTCCAGGATCGCGCCCTGGGCCTTGGCCAAAAGCAGGTGCTAAACCGCTGCGCCACCCAGGGATCCTGGAAAAATTTTTTTGTATGCTTGTTTTTGTTTTTTGTTTTTCTAAAAAATATTTTATTTATGTATTTGAGAGAGAGAGTGTGCACAAGTAGGAGGTGCCAGGAGGAGCAGAGGGAGAGGGAGAAGCAGACTCCCCATTGAGCAGAGAACCTGATGCGTGGGGCTCAGTCCCAGGACCCCAGGATCATGACCTGGGCCGAAGGCAGATGCTTAACTGACTCAGCCACCCAGGCGCTCCAGTATGCTTGTTTTTTAAGTAGAGATGTAGTACAATGGCCATAGTTATTTTAATGGTTCAGTCCTAAATTGTTCAAAATTGGTTCTCCCCCTTGATTTTCACTAGGCGCCCTCCTGCAAAACGACCCAATTATGTTAAGCTTGGCACTCTGGCACCTTTCTGCTGTCCCTGGGAGCAGTTAACTCAAGAGTGGGAGTCAAGAGTCCAGGCCCAAGAGGAATCCTCTGTGGCCTCCTTTCCAAGTGGTGAGGAAAATACCTTGAGAGGAGACAGGTTGCCTTGTGCTCCCATGCCTGAACACACTGATGAGCTGTCTGATGAAGGGGGCGCATCTCTGAGCAGGTCCAGTGAGCCCCAAGAAGTAATGGACACAAAATGCCCAGCCCAGGTGGGGACCAAGTTGGTTACAGGCCAGGATGCCACTGGCAGTCTCCTCTGCGTTCTTAGGTAAGTGTCCTGACTCCTGGATGTCGTTTAGATTGTCTTGTTTTCATTCTGACCAGGCTACAGGATGTAAATGTTATCTTCGTTCCTTTATGCAAAGCCCAAAGGGATGCCTGGGCTTCCTGGAGGGGAAAGCAAGTCCTGCCGTGTGTGTCTCACAGAGGGCTCGGGGACACAGCTGAGTCACGTTGGTTTGGAGCACAGTACTAACTGGCCAGATGATTTAAAGTATTGTCATCCTTAGACATAAAACAAGGCAGTTGTTTTCTGTGACCTATTTAATTTAGTCTTTGCTGACAGAGCAGTCCCCTTGCGTCTGTGACCCTAGGTAACGAGGAACATTCCCTCTGCAGACTCTGAGCAAGCATTTTCCCTTTTATATCTCTGAATTAGATTTCTTCTGGTTCCTTTCAAATGTTCTGAATTTGAGTGATGTACCTGCTTGTTTTAACATTGTTATGTCAGAGAGGGCACTGTACGAAGTGTGTTCCTGCTGCAGCCTGTTTGGTGGTACTTCATAGTTTCCTTCTCTTCTGTGCTTAGATTTTTTTAAAAAGTGCTCATCCCTCTCGCTTTATACTCATGTCATAACTTTATATCCTTCCTTCATTTCCTAGAACTGTCTCTCTCAGCCTTAGATTCTCTTATTTTTCTCTACCTTCAACTTCTTAAACCTTTAGTCCCTTAGTATCTAAGAAGAGTAGACACATAAGAAAAATATCATACAAAAATGCATTAATGTCTGTTTTTAACCGTAAAAAAATTAGTTTTTATCCTTTCCCACAGAGTATAAAAAAATCAAGTTAACTCCAATAGTGCCCAATCTTCTGATTGCATGTTTTCTCCTCAAATGTGTGTCTCCCACTTCACGTAGGAGTAGGAAATCACTGAAGCAGCTGTCAGCCTGGTGTGGGCCCAGTTCCAGGGACAGGAGGGCACCCCAGCGAGCTCCCAGCAGCGGGCAGCCAGCAATGACCAGAGCAGCCAGCCTGGCCATCTTGGACCGCTTCCCCAGGGCCTTGGTGTGGGTCAGCCTGTCCCTGCTGAGGAAGGGCAACCCTGAGCCGCACTCCATGATCTGTGTCCCAGCCAAGGAGGACTTCCTCCAGCTCAGTCGGGATCGGCTATACCCTGGGCCCCAGGAATGCAAGCACAGTGACCCATTCAAGAGCAAGATCCGGAAACAGAAAGAGAAGAAGAGAGTAGAGAAGAGGCAGGACCAAGTGTGCAGTGTGCCTGAGGGTCTGGCAGGAGGGCACCCCGCAGCCAGGGACCAAGCTCTGACCCTGGGGTTGTGGTCAGGCCCCCTCCCTGTTGTGACGTCTCACTGCTCCAGAGTTCTCCTTGGCTTTGTCACGCAGGGAGACTTTTCCATGGCTGTCGGCTGCGGAGAAGCCCTGGGGTTTGTCAGCTTGACGGGTTTGCTGGATATGCTCTCCAGCCAGCCGGCAGCAGAGAGGGGCCTCGTGTTGCTGAGGCCCCCCGCCTCTCTGCAGTATCGGTTTGCGAGAATTGCTGTGGATGTATGAGCGCTGGTGGACAGCCTGGCAGCATAGAGATCATGTTTGTATGCCAAATCCCACCATTAGAGAGTTTTGTTTTCACCATCTTCTGTTTTGAAATATCATGTGAAATTCCTTGGAAATGAGAATAAAAAGATTATGTATTATGCAAATGATAGAATACTAACATCATTCCAGTTATCTCATGGATTTCCTCCACCTTTCCCTGTAGCATTTGAAAATTATTTGGTTATACAGACAAAAGCTTTTATATTTTGATTTCTTGGTTTGTGCCATTCTTGCTGAAAATAATTAGATGCTCTGTATGTTTTCTTGTTCCTTTTTTATTTGGAACAAAGGGCTGTCAAGTGTATTTGAAAAGCCTTGTAGACACGGAATAAGCAACAAGGTTTGTTTAATGACTTGATTGTTACAGAAGAGAGAAAGGCTATAAACACTTGGCCTCTTGTGCATGACATAGGGCTCCCCCGTCTGGACTGTGTTCAATTCCATACTGGAGTCAGCATGCCTAACACTTAACACCATGTGGAAGGAAGTTGTGGAAAATTTATTGCTGCCCGTTTTCAGGCAGATTCAGTGTATGGCAGAGGTGTTGAGGTGGAATCAGAATGGGGTTCTGATCTTTAGGATCTGTTGTCCTCTTTGCTATTGATCAACACATTATCCTAGGACTTACGTGATTTTTCTGTGCTTTTTTTTTCTGCAGAGTTTCTCAAAGCCATAGAGGATGGTTTCTCAAAATACGTTCTATGAAATGTGCTATCTAAAAAAAAAAAATGATTCCAATGTCAGATTGATGTGGGAAACTCTGGGTTAAACAAAGTTTAACGTTTCTTTTTAAGCATTTCTTTAAAAGGGGTTTCTAGAACCTTCCATGTGATAATACACATTGTGCTTCTCCAGGAAGTGGATAACAGCGTACAGTAGTATCTAAATCTTTTTAATTCCCAAACTCCTTTTGCAAGGAGCACTTTGTAGGAATCATGTTTTTGGGAACACACTTTGGGGAACGTGGCTGTACCATGCAATGTTTACCTCTCTGCTAGGTGATGATTAAAATGACAGGCCACTTTTAGACACTCAGGCAGTCACGATGGCCACCTGATGTTCAAGCAGGGTGTAAAAGAGAGGTTTCATTCTGCCCCACAGAAGGAGTGCAGTCACCATTATTTTTTTTTTCACTTGCAGAGAAACTAGGTGCTCATTCGTTCACTTTTAGTTACTATATGCATCTCACACCTTCAGACCCTTATCTTCCTACCACACGTTTTCTAGCAGAGCCTGAACTGGTTGTTTTTGTTTTTGTTTTTTTAATTTAAATGTACAGTGAGGCATTCTTCCGTGTAAATGTATTGGGTTTTTGCAGTAGCACTTGGTAGAAATGTCTCTGGGGGAGACTAGTTGCCAAGAGAGACAGCAAGTATTACAGTAGCTAATGAAATGTCTGATGTTTTTCCTCTCACCATGCCTCTGGATGTACTGGTGTCCAACCCAAATGGAGGCTGATAAAAATAGTGTAACTTAGTGGTGTCTGTAAACAATAAATTAAAATGCTGCTTGATGTTCAATTGTGAATGTTTATTGGGCCATTCCTTGTTTGTTTTCTCGGCTCCAAGCCACTTCATCTGAGGCTTAGCTTGCCCCATGACAGAAGCCTGAGCATGCTGTGAGTCACCTAAGCTCAGTGCCTGTGAGGGCCAGGCAAGGGGGTCAGGGCACACTTACTCTGCTTTGTGGTAGAAGGTCAAAGAACTATGTGCTGAAGGGATAGACTTGTGTTTCCGAAAACCTGTTCAAGCCACAGACATCTACGGCCATACCACCCTGAACGTGCCTGATCCTGAAAACCTGTTCAAGGGAGCACTGGTCCCTGGAGACGTTTTCCGGAAAGTGATGGCCAAATAAATTTGGGGAGAGCTGTAGTCTACAAGCTCCTGTTGCAGATGCACAATAAATGAGTGAAGGCAAGGCCCAGCAGATTCCTGTGGGAAGGAAATCCATCTTTTACAGAACTCCCCCTTTCCCCACCGATTTCTGTTTAGTGGTGGGCATATCTATTGTCCAGGGAAAACTAGTTTCATGGAATATACTTTGCAAAACACTGACAAAATCTGCACATATCCAGTGAAGTATCCATTTCTCCTCTGAAAAAGACACAGGAAAGCGTCTTATTCTCTACAGCAAAAAATGAATAAATATGTTTATTTTGATGCTCCCTGTGTCGCAGATTTGCCAAAAAAGTACAATGTGGCCCCTGGCCTCTTGTGAGGGCAAAGTCTCCGGGGTTTGCAAAGTCAGGAAGTGTCTTAAAAAGTGTAGTTGTGTGATCTGAGCACCCAGAGACCAGCTGTATACCTCTCTGTAAGAAACCATTGATTCTGTGTGATTATGCTCAGCTTTTAAAAAATACTACACGTATTAAAATGTTTACTACACATAGTAAAATATTACTGTATTTTTGGATTAATATATATTCATCATGGAAAACCTAGAATATGCTGATGAGCAACAACAACAAAAGTTAAAATCACCTGGATTCTCACGACCCAGACATCACCTTTCTGGTACATACCCTTCTAGGCCTTGAGATGTGTGCCAGTAGTTTTCAGAAAAATAGCGTCAGTCATTGCTCATCTAAAAATTCACACGGTCCCAGTGCAGGTTAAGCACACGTCGCCCATTCCTTACAGAACTTCATTAGCTCCATGAACCTGATGTTCATGCTCCTTTCATCGGCAATAGGGAGTTTGTAGGTAACGGACCCATGAGGAACTCACTGCAGCATTGCTGACTGGCTGCTGCCTGCCTGGGAGGGGCTAGGGGAGGGGAGATGGGCAGGTGACAGCTGGATGGACTCTCATCCTAGCCTTAACTGGTCAGGACTGGGCTGCTTAGCAGGTAATAGTACATAACAAAGACCAACCGGGGTCCCTCAGAGCAGCACCCCTAGTTAACACAGCAACTCTGGCCACTGCAGGCCTCTCCACAGTTCAGAGGCACGAGTCCCATCTTCTCTATGGCTCCCAGTCCTGGCTGCACTTTAGAATTGTCTGATAGGGGCAGCCCCCGTGGCGCAGCGGTTTAGCGCAGCCTGCAGCCTGGGGTGTGATCCTGGAGACCCAGGATCGAGTCCCACATCGGGCTTCCTGCATGGAGCCTGCTTCTCCCTCTGCCTGTGTCTCTGCCTCTCTTCGCTCTCTCTGAATGAATGAATGAATGAATGAATAAATAAATAAATAAATAAATAAATAAATAAATAAATAATAAATAATAAATAAATAAATCTTAAAAAAAAAATTGATAGCCCAGAAAGCGGCTCAGGTGGGACCCAAGGCTTTTCTGACGTGTAGCTTGGGCTGAGGCTGCAGTGCTGGGAGGTCTGGCTCTGGAGCCCTGCACCCTGGGAAGGTGTGAATGAACCTGACCACTCTTATGCCTTTCGCAGCTCACAGGTCTGTAGACTGCACCGTGAAACAGCTGGGCAGGAACTTGATGAGAGCATAGTGGCAGGGCTGGGAGGCCCCGAGTGGGGGTGTCCACCAGGGGAAAAGCCTGGTCTTGAAAGAGAAAACAGCCTGGCTCATTACTTACATAACCTTCACTACTTGGGAATATAAAATGAGTATCTTTTGTTCTTTCTTCTTTCTTTCTTTCTTTCTTTCTTTCTTTCTTTCTTTCTTTCTTTCTTTCTTTCTTTCTTTCTTTTTCTTTCTTTCTTTCTTTTCTTCTTTCGTTTTCTCTTGGTGAGTATCCTTTCAGATCATCAGTTCTCAACCTTGGCTGCATTTTGGCATCACCTGGGGAGCTTTTCAAGCTCTGGTGCATGAGGCTCACATCCCAGAGATGCTGATTTAACTAGTGAGGACCATGACCCAGACACTGGGATTCTTAGGAGCTCCCGGAGGTGACCTGCAGCAGGGATTGAGAACCACTGTTCTAGACTTTTGATACAAGGTTCCAGTGTAGCAAGGTAAGGACACAAAAACTCTGTGGGTAATAAGGAAACATGCAGGGTGGTAGCAGGTGTAAGCTGTCCTGAGTGGGGCACACAGCTGATTCTGATGGCCGTGGGTAAGGTCCTGCTGAACCTAACAGCAGAGTTCACGTAATGGCATTTCCTTTCCCTGCTTTTTTAAAGTTTTTTTTTTTTTAATTTTTAATTTATTTATGATAGAGAGAGAGGGAGAGGGAGAGGGAGAGGCAGAGACATGGGCAGAGGGAGAAGCAGGCTCCATGCACCGGGAGCCCGACGTGGGACTCGATCCCGGGTCTCCAGGATCGCGCCCTGGGCCAAAGGCAGGCGCCAAACTGCTGCGCCACCCAGGGATCCCCCTTCCCTGCTTTTTTAAAACTAAAATTTAACCCGGTACTATTCCGGAAGAATTCCCCCCTAACCATTTGTGTGCATTCACTTAAGGAAATGTTTATAAACACGAAATCCGAGGACCCCTGGGTGGCTCAGCGGTTTGGCGCCTGCCTTTGGCCCGGGGCGCGATCCTGGAGTCCCGGGATCGAGTCCCACGTCGGGCTCCCGGTGCATGGAGCCTGCTTCTCCCTCTGTCTCTCTCTCTCTCTCATGAATAAATAAATTAAAAAAAACAAAAAACACGAAATTCTCCTAGTTCCTCCCTCCAATCGCTGGCCTTCTGGTTCCTGAGTAGCCGAGCTCTCGGTACCTCCAGGACTTGGAGAGCCAGGCCTGCGCTGCGCTCTGTGTTCGTGGAACGTTCTTGCCCCTCCTCCTGTACTTTCTGTACCCCTATCCCCTCTCCTCCCATCCTCCCAAGTTGATGACGTATTTCTCAGAGAGGCCTCCTCCTGCCTACATTATTTTCTATCCCAGAAGGAGTTTATTTCTTGATGACATCACAACGTAGAATAATTCTTTGGTTGGTTGTTTATTGTCTACTCCATTAGGCTGTGAGCCTCAGGAAGGGGAGACCTGTGTCTTATTTGATGATTGTTGCCCCTCAGGCTCTAGCTGGGTCCCTAACTCGTGCCCCGCATTTTTGTCGAATTGCTGCGTTAACCAAAGAGCTTGTTGATAGTAAAAGTACGATCCTGTTTTATCCCGGGCACCATTGCAATGGACGGATGGGCCACTAGGTGGTGCCAAGACCTCGCGAGAGAACAGCCTACTCGGAAAACCGGGGGAACTAAAACCCGGTTCACTTGTGCAGGCCTTGGGGGCGGGGGGCGGGGGGTGGTGGCAATTGTGAAGTTACAGGTCCTCAGTCTTCCTTCTCTCTCTTTTTTTAAAGATTATTTATTTATTCATGAGAGACACACACACAGAGGCAGAGACCCAGGCAGAGGGAGAAGCAGGCTCCGTGCAGGGAGCCCCACGTGGGAATCGATCCCGGGTCTCCAGGATCACGCCCCGGGCGGAAGGCAGGTGCCAAACTGCTGAGCCACCCAGGGATCCCCTCCATTTTCGTTTAAACCTCATGCAAGCAAGTTTATGACCCCACTTTATAGATAAGAACACTGATAGAAAGAGGTTGAAGAATTTCCCTAAGGCCCTACAGCTGATAACTGGAGGACAAAGCATTCAAAATCAGATCCATTTGCTGTCAAAGCCTGTGCTCTTTCTAGGTTCATCTTTTCAAAAAAATTAGGCAGAGGGAGAAGCAGGCTCCACGCAGGGAGCCCGACGTGGGGCTCGATCGCGGCTCTCCGGCATCACGCCCCGGGCTGCAGGCGGCGCCAAACCGCTGCGCACCCAGTACTCTTTCCCTTGAGGGCACAGCCACACTGTTGAAATCCTCGTTTGAGAACTCTTAGTGATTTTTTAAAAGGAGCTAGGTAAGAAACCGTTTTTAAAGCTCTTTTCTGAAAAATGAATCCCTCCCACATCACCGCCGCTCCGTCTGCCACCTCGGGCCGTCAAGGCTGGCCTCCCGCCGGCCCCCGCCTCCCGGCCCCCGCCCGCCGGCCCCCGCCCCCCGGGGCTGGGCGAGCCTCTGCAGCGGCCCCGCGGGAGCCCCGCCCCGGCCGGACCTCACTCGGCGCAGGGAGAGCCCACGCTTTCGGGGCTTTTGGCTCCTGACTTTAGGAAGTGCAACAAGCCTCATTCTCGAGCTTTCCTTCTTGCTTCCCACAGGTCACAAAGGATCTTACATCTATTATTTGGACACTACCTCGTTTGTCCTACCTGCTGCCTGTGGGGCGGGCACCTGTTCTGGGTCACTGGGTCTCCCACTTGTCGGGCTTGCTCGTCCCTTGCTCTGCGGGACGTCACTGCTCCTGCGGGTTATTGGTCGTTTCAAAAGCAGAGCCTCGGACAGCTTACCTGGGGGTAGTTTACTGTAGGAAGTGACCTCAGGGGACGGGAACGGGGAGACTTGGCCGAGCCAGCCAGCTGAGGAGGGAGCCCAGGCTGATCCGAGCGTCTTAGTCCAGCTGGTTCCCTGTGGGGGCGGGCGGACACCGCCCAGCACAGTGGCGGAGAGAAGGCAGCCTTTACTCACTCACCCGCCCTGTCCTCTTGCCGGAGGGCGGCCCCTTTCCTTGCACCTCCAAGTGTGCACAGGGACTAGAACGGCTGAGTCGGCTAGGTGAGCATCCC